GTCAGGCCCAAATCCGCAAATGCACACACTCACACAGATATGCCAATACTGGTTTTCATTGTCGTTATTTCTGCTTTATTTCATGTTGGTATGCTTACTACGAGAGTTTCCTAACTGTTGTCTTTGTGCTTGTGTGTATGATGTGTGGCTGTTAACATTAGCATCCCTCATACAAGCCCATTCTCCTCTCTCACTTGGTTGGTCTCTCGCCAGTAATGGGGGATTGCAGGGAAGTCTAGATTAGAAATTAGTGTGAGAATGTTTGCCAGTCTGCTTTTTTTTTACCTTTCCCCCTCTAAATGTCCTAAACATCCCAATCTGCTTTGCACTCATTCTTCACATGTTCTCCTCACTTCCTAACACATCCCCTGTAGCTTTTTCACTGTGTTCATCTCCATATGTATACTGTCTATCCCCATGGCTCTCTGATGGTATGATCTTTTCTATTGAGCTACTTTTTGTCATACTGAGGTCTTGTTTTCCACCTGTGTCAGTGTTAGTGTCATAGCTACATTGCATCAAGATTTTTTAGCTGTGTCCTAGTTTATGTGAAACTGGATTAGAAAGCAGAAATTGTGAATTTTGTGGTTTGTGTTTAAAGAGACCTGCTTGGTAGTGAGACTCTGATGTAATTGCTCTGCTTTGCTCATATCATTCTATTAAAAAAAAGTAGATGCCCTCTTTAGTGTTTTAGCAAGGTACACTTTGTACAAAAATGTCTAAGCTGTTGATTGTTAGTGTTCATATGTGCTTTTCAGTGTCTGCAAGATTATTCTGTGTCTTGCTGTAGCTGCACTTAGCTCTCTTAATCCCTACTTTTGTCTTTCTTTAAATCATGCCTCTCATTCTCTGTGTCTATATGAGGGCTGTGCAGTTGTGGCACAAATACAACAGCTAGTGCTATCATGGAGGTCCACTGCATGTAAAGAACAACAAAGCTGGAAAAAGAGATAATGTTCTGAGATTGCATGCAGGTCTGGCTCAATTAAAAATTTGACTAATTCAGTAGCGTTACCATGGGAAGTGACTATAAACATACTATAAGTATGATGAGAGTATTTAAGTTTAAGCTTCTTGTCCTCAGCTCTCATATTTCTGATCCTTGTCTGGATTCTATCCTTGTCTATTCAGCCCAGTAACTGGCCATTACTTTATCACTGTTAGCCCTCAAATCAAGAAGATTGTGATCACATCAAATGCACACAAATTGCCCCAGTTGCCAAAGAGAGAAAAATCCTCTATAGCCAAAAAGCAATGATCTGTAAAGATAGCTTATGTCTGATATTGGGGTACCTCAAACTGTAATCAAGGTCATGTGTAGCTTTTTGTATTTGAAATTTAAGCCATTTCAGTTTAATATATGTCTATAACTTTCCATCATTTTACGTACATGACTATAACAGAAGATGGAGGAGTCTTCAGTCATTAATCAGGGTCTGTTAAAGTCCATACCACTGTAACAATCTTCCAAGTCAAAAGAGCCCAGACATTAACGTCTGCAATAGGAATATTTTTGAGAAGTCGAGTAGTAAAAGTCAAAATGTTGTTAGCACTTTAACATCACTTGTGCCTGAGGACCTTCTGTATGGCCCTGCTTTCTGCCACCTGAAAGTCCAATTTCTTTTTGTCTCTCTTCTCTTCTTCTAAAACCTCTCCTTGCTGCTTCTCTACCTGCTCCTGCAAGCTAGGGCTTGTCATAGTGGATGCCTGTCTGTCTGTTTGTCCTTCCGTCCGTCTGTCTGTCTTGTCCGTTTGTCTGTGGTGTTGTGGTTGATGGGACAGATGCACTGATGCCTGTGATTCGATGCTTTATCTCCACTAGCTCCAGTGTAGGTTGGAGGGGCTTAAAGATGATCGCAGGAGGACCTTCAGCTCTCGAGTAACTATCCCGCCCCCTTCCCTTTGCCCTTCCCTCACCCTCCTCCGAGGAGCGCGCAAAACAAATGCCCCGCTCTGTGTCTTCCCCCTCTCCTCGCTTGCCTAGCTATCTCTGTAGCTCTCACACTCTTTTTTCTCTGTACGTCGTTCTACCTGTCTGTTGTCGCTGGTCTGTTTCTTGTTCTCAATCTGTCTGTTGTTCACTCTCGTCACTCTTTGTCTCGCTATTTCTCTGTCGGGTCTGTTAGGATTCTTCCTTACTCTGTCTCCCACACACACTTTTCTATCTTTTGTTGTTCACTTTCTTTCTCTATTTCTTTTTCTCTTCCTCCATCTGCCTGTCTATCTCAGCTTCTGTCTCTCCAGTGAACATGCTCTGCTTTCAGTAGTTATGTCTGGTGTGCTGGATGTTTATTACGTAGATGCCGTCAGGCCGCTCAAATGGTCTTTATTGTTTCTGTTCTTTTCTTCCTGTTTTACCTCTTTTCTGCTATGTCTCGGCTCTGTAGTTTAGTGAAGTCTGTCTAGTCTGTGCTTTCTGTTTTTGTTTCTTTCTTTCCGGGCTGCGGGACCACGTCATGCTGATCCTCATCCTTCCACCCCCTAGATTTCTGCCTTCCTACCTGTCTTTTTCTATATTTCTGCCTCTCTATCCCTCCTCCTCCTCCACCATCCCACCCACCCTTCCCCACCTCCCATTTCCCACCCTCTCACCTTGGCTGTTTGGTGACCAGTGGTGTCGCAGTATTAGCTTAGGGAGTGAGGGACGGGAGGAGAGAGAAAGGGGTGGGTGGGTAGGTGAGTAGAGAGACCTTCACCTTCACCATGGGTGTTTTGGTTCTCCATACACCACACGCTGCACATAACCTATATGAACACAGGTCACAGAGGTTACTGACATGCAGCAATTGCAACAAAGGAATGGAGGACTTTCACAGCTCAGAGAAAATGAAAGACAAGTTAGAGTAGACAGACAATAGCTGACTAGGCAATCAGTTTTTTCAACTGACACATTTGAATACTACAACAGATAGACAGACTAGCAAGCGGGAAAGAAAACAAATGGAGAGCTCTATCCAAAATATATGAAAACTGTGCCCAGCTGATAATCCGTTTTGGCAAAATCTACACCTTTTCTTGCACTCAGTTTATCCAACTGGGCATTTATTTGTGCAGGTGTATAGGGAACAATTATTCTCAAATTTTGTGCCAAACCTGCAAACTAATGAACAACATCCTGTAATTCCCTTTCTTATTAATCATTCCTTAAGGCTGAGCTTCCCAAAAGCATGTTCATACTGTAAAACAACATCTTGCTTACAAGGAGTTTTAAACATATAGTGCAGCATTTTAAAATCAACACGTCAATGCTTTGTTTCTTTTACATAAATACCATGACAGCAATATGATGAGGCAAGAGGTTTGACCACTGATGAGTCCATAATTCAGGAGTTGCACCCGCTGTATAGCCCCTTTTTACTCTCACTTTCATTTACTGCTAACCTCCTCCACTGAAGTATGTGCACAGTTAGATTTCATTTAAAAGCTGCTGCCGGAAAATCAGTTTCGTTCTGTTTTGCAATATAAAACAGAATGAAGGTGCTGATCTTTCAGTCAAGGCTAAAACTGAGACTGGAGTTGCATCTTATTTCCACACTGCATATTAATTCTTAGCAAGTTTTAAGCATGCCTTGTGTCTACACCAGAAAAATAACAACGTTGAATATACTGATATAGTTAATATGCATGCTAACTCTTGCTAATTTTTTAGAGTGCTGTTGTTGGACACCACTGCCTGTGCACAAAAGAATTAATGAGGGGCTCACAACTGGCTGTACACATGAGAGTGGAGTGAAAAGAGAACACTGGAAAATGAAAAGAATGTATTAAATCTTAAAAACATTTTGCTTTCTTATTGTAAAGTTTTATTGACAGTGCTGTCACAGTGTGTCTGATGTGTAGCAGCATCATGTCACGTCACGTCCTATAGCACAAAGTGTTAGCCTTCATTGATTTCTCTTATGCTACAATATTAACGTGTTTTGGATTATTTTTAGTGTCTTTATTACATAATTAAAGTATAGAGTTGACAGGTAACAATGGAGATAGGGAACACAGTTACAACAAAGATCACTTGAACCAGGTATTATGTGTCCCAGCTCTACCACTGTACCTTGATTTCTTGTACACTAATGCAACAACATAAAATGACAATGAATGTTTCACATATTAAAACATGTTGTATGGAACTGGGACACAGCAAATATGACATGGCCACGGTTAAACTTCTTTCAGCATGTTCAGCAACCAAGGCACAAGAAGTTCTCTACTCTGACACGAAGAAATAAGTTGATGGGAAATGTGGTTATTACTTTGACAAATGATGATGTGAGATCACCGCTAATTGTCTCTGTCTTGGATACTCCTGTTTTCATAGTTTTGCTTAACTCTGCAAAAATACACTAGTTCTAAACATTACATGTATTGCTTTTAATAGTGTGTTTTCCATTCTCTCACCACAGACAGCAGACAGAGTTGTAGTCTCAAGTTGTTTTTGGGAAACGCAGCCCAGTTTGAACCCACTCTGCTCTCCTCCCCACCTTGTCACATATGATAAGCTACTATGCATCATCAGCAATTTTCAGAGAAATCTCACCATTCTGCGTCACACCTGAACAGTCACTATTGATATTCAACACAACATTTCCGCTACATTTGATGTTACACCATAGGACATTTAATACATCTGTTAGGACCTTGTGTTACAATATTGTCACTGTTGTTGCCTTTGTCCATGTATTCCTTTTAGTGCTCCAGTCTAATAGTAGTGTGACATATCCAATTATCAGTGTGACTGTCACCTGTGATATGATGATGTAGCGTGCATTGAGTGATCATAATGTTAATGCAAGGAGATGTAGCCATCTCTTAACAGCAGGACAAAGTGCACAGTGTAGCGTGACACAGCTCTTGTCAATGTTTCTGACTGCTGTTAAATAGCTGGTCATTTGAAGCATGTGAAAAGAGCAGTGTGGTTTATCTGAAACTACTACCACCTCTGCTGTCCTTCTCTTTCCTTTTGCCCTTTGTCTTTCTCTCCCAATCACTCTCTCCATCTCTAGGTGCAGTCGCGATGCAGCAGCAAAGAAAATATCCTAAGATCAAGTAAGTAGTGTAGTACCTTTCCTATTCAGAAGACCAGTCTCTTTCCTATGTGTTGTATTTGAATGTGTGCTCTCGAATACATAAATAGATTCTAAATGTGCATGTGGTGTGATAATGTGAGCATAATTTATGTGTGAGGCTGTGTGTGGCTGCTGTGTTCTGTTTGCATGTTGCTCTGTGTATGTGATGTTTTGCTGGAGGTTGTTAAGCCTCATGTTAGGCATCAGAATATGCTGTGGAAGTGCAAGTGTATGTTTAAAGGGGAAAAATTAGGTCAAGGGAAATCAAAGCACAGCGCCTATTCTTTGCTGTAAGGCAAAGAGGCAGATGGAAAGAGAGGCAGAGGGAGATAAAGAGAGAGGAAAGAGAGAACAGATTACACATTAGTTACACCTTGCTTTGTTCCTTTTACGTTTGGAATTATTAGAGAGGTATTATTAGATCAACATGGCTGCTATCAGGCACCTCTATCATGCAGCTGCGCTCTACAGCTTCCACAAACAAACAGCTATTTATTGCCAATCCCTCCTCATGGCATTTAAATGCTGTTATTGCACATATAAACCTAGATGCACAAAAAATAAATCATGTTAATCCAGTTGTCTTATATTCGTGTGAAGACACACTAGAAAATATGTGTTTATTTATATAATTCTGTTTTACATTTGTACATTTTATGTGCATATCATATGAAATCTGACCTTTACTGCTACAGCTGCAAACCCAGTGGGCTCAGATCAGATTAAGTTTCTCAGTAGGTTTTCCCAAAGTTTTTTCATTCCTGTTGGGCCAAAAGAAAAATCTTAAAATATAGTTTTTGTCTCTAGAGATAGTTAAGTGGTTCAGTTCCCTGCCTTTGGAGCCACAAAGATGCCTGCTGTCTTGGGATTGAATCCCAGCAGAGTTGTCTTTCCTCTCCCTCTACCTCTTTCAGTCTTCTTCTCAGCTTTCAGAGTGTCTAAATATAGAATTAAAATGCTTAAAAGGGTAAGTGGACAGCCCAATCTCCTAGCACCAATGGTTTGTTACGTGATTTATCTTTGTATCTTTGTTTATCAAACACAATATCAGGTGGAACTGGTTCAACCAGACTTAAATTTTAAGGCAAAACCTCTGAAAACAATCCCTTTTTGATACCTTGTGGTCATTATTTATGTGCATCTATTTGATTGACTGTCCAAATTCTACATGTAAAATTTAAACACTACTGAGTGCCATAAAAAACAGCTAATAAAAAATATGGTGTCCATACCACTTTTATCACAGTAACAACTGTATTAATGCAATTCCTTTCCAATACAGCAAAAATAGGATGCACGACATGCTAGTGAAAGCAAAAACAATGATAATGTATAGACACATTTGAATTTACTGCTCATCATAAAGGAAACTATTAGATAAATTGTCTGATATTAGTTTACTGGAAATTTAGTGCAAGCTACAATTTCATATGATCTGTATAAAATCCATAAAAGATATTATTTGTTTACATGAAATTTGATAATCTGCCAGTTTGTGGTAAATTAATGTTATTTTAACCCCTCAAATGTCAATATCTGCCTGACAATTACAAGACTGGTCAGGTATTCCAAAATGTTTACAATGCAGAAAGCTATTAATGACTGACAAACACAGCTACTACATATATATAGTGTACCTTGTCTACTTTAAGTATACTGTACACATTGTGTCTTTTTTCTGAATATGGTTTGTTTTTGTGGCACCTGTTTCATGACAGTGTATGTAATGAATATCTACTCAGGTCACAGTGCAGTGGACATCACCAAGGTGGCTCGGAGGCACCGTATGTCCCCTTTCCCCCTCACCTCAATGGACAAGGCCTTCATCACTGTGCTAGAGATGACTGCCGTCCTGGGCACTGAGATCATCAACTACAGAGGTAAAAAGAAGAACAGATGTTTGGTTCCCTTTAAAATTGTATGGTCTTGTAGGTGTAGCAAGCTGTCTACAGGTGTTCTCAGTTTGTTAGTCTTTCCCCTTGACATTTACAGTTTACCTTTCCATCACGTCTGCAGACACCAGCTCCTATAGATGCAGGGAGATTGATCTGTCATGCCTTTCAATGTAGCACCGTGCATGTTAAGTTCATATGGTGATATTTAAATACTGTGTGTCCACAACTGGAGACCTCACTTAATTGCAGTCTCTGCCGACAGGTAACTACGTTAGTGACACCAACACAAATTATCTCGACTACTTGGCCACACGCATATCAAACCTTTCCTAACAATTCATGTGTACTGCTTGAACCACCCACTTCTTACAGCACAGAAATGTTCATGCATTTCAATACATTTTTGCAAACACTCATTACTGTTTTTCTAGAACTAAAGACCTGCGGTCTGCTTGCTCAATGCAGTTATTGTTCCTATGATAAAAATCGCAAATTGGATCTAACACCAGGTCTTTTACATTCTTTATTGTGCTTTAATCTTTGGGAGAAAAGACAGAGGGAGAGCTCTGTTTGCCACATTGTTGACTTCCTTATTCCTTTATCTATATACCTATATCGATGCACAGGTGAGTTACGCTCACACGTGCATCAAGCCAGCCAGTTCAGGTTATTGTCATTATTATCAATATCAAATGTGTTAATATCTCAGTATCATCTTTACAGCTTATATCTGCCCAAGTGGTAGAAAAAAAAATTATGCTTGTGCAAAAAGTTAAAGAGAAAATTATTGCCGTTCATTCACATTGATTTTCAGTCTCTGTAGTGACATGTTTATGTGTGCATGAATGCATGTTCGTTTTTGTTTTATAATAATTATCATTCTGATACTGTAAAATGTGTACATTTTATGGCATTTTGCATTGTGTCTTTGCATGTCAAAAAAGACATGCACAGATGCAAGTCTGCAAAGTGAAGTAGGTTTAGTACTTAGGGTCTTGTCATTCTTCTGGCAGAGTGGTCTAAGCACCCATGGAGGGTGACACAAAGCCAAGCTGAGGGCCGGAGGGGAGAAAACACACTCTTTAATGTATATCTAAAAACAGTGTAGTGAGGTGTAGGGGCAATAATGGCCTACAGCGCACATAGCTTCTAGATCAATCATGGTAGAAGGAACATTCTTTTTTTACTGGTGTAAAGTGATGTTTCATGTTTTTAAAGAGGTTACTGAGGTGCAGGATTCAAAAGAGTACAACTGGGAGGAGGGCAGTGGGGTAAGCAAGAGAGGAAGAGGGGATTTAAGAGATGAAATATTTTGACAGACAACAGCTGGAGCAGCTCCCTTGGTGGATGTAGAGCAGTCTGCACACGTGTTCAGTGGGTGTGTTTGTGTCAAGTGCACAGTGTCATAGTTTGATGATGGGTGTATATGCTGTGTTTTTGTATATGTGTAGGAAATGTCTGTCATTATATTGTCATAATGGTGAATAACACATATTCCTGAACACTGAATTGCATCACTATTTTTTCCAAAATGTCATCTTTCCTCATTGTGGGTAAACACTTGTATTCCTATTAAGTTCATAACAGTTAAATACTTAGATGAATACCTAATTGATAAAACACTTTTAAGGAATAATTTGACGTGCTGACTCTCTGTCTCACTAATAAATGTGTATAAATTATATGTACTATACCTGTGTCCTGTTTAAACCCTAAATATGAAGCCACAAACATCAGCAATATAGCTTGGACAAAGCCTGGAAACAAGGGGACACAGATATCCTGGCTGTACCCAAAAGTGAGATCATCCTTCTATAAACACCTGTAAAAGCTTACTGTTAACTTCTATTTGGTTTGTTTCATCTTTACAAAATACTATGTAAATCTGTATGTTGTTTGTCCCACTGTTTCCACTTAGCTTCTTTCTGTAGCTTCATATCTACTGGACTGTGCGTCTAAGAGAGGATGAGAGAAAACCTTCTAATCCATGATTAAGTTTTTAAAAAATTAATTAATCAAAAAAATTTAAAATGAGCATGTGTCTTTTCCCAAAAAACCTGACAGTTCTTTCTATCTACATTTTTTTTTTCCGATCGTTTAATAGCATTGTTTGGGGGAGTGAGGTCACTGTGTCCTCTCCTTAAATCACCGTCGTGTAACTATTTTAAAATTTGGACGTATTACAACAGATGTTTTGAAAGCTTCTTGTCAGACTCACACTTCAGTGCTGTAACAAGACATCACCTCTATTCTATTTTTGCTCACAGTTCAGCTTTAGCGTATGGTTTTAAGTAGCTACGTAAATGGCAGCTTGAAAGAAGAAGCAGTTGTGGAAATACACCAGAATATCTCAAATGAAATGCTGCTGACCTAAAAACAGTGTAAGGGCTGGACATGAGCGTGTGTGTCTGCGACTGACATGCATTATGAGTGTATCTGCATTACTTTTTCCCTTCAGCCTATTGCTGTTGAAGCTTAGATCTTCATATTGATACCAAATGTCTCAGAAAAATGCTATAGTCACACAGAAACTTAAGGTATTTTAGTGCCACCATTTTTTTTTCCTCCACCCACCCTCCCTCTGACCTTTTCTGTCTTTCTGTCTGTGAGCCATTGTCTCAGTGAAGAGTGTCTTTTCATCCTCCACAAAGGTTTTGAAGTTATCTGGTCAGTGGAAGTGGTTAAGAAAGTTAAACAGAGACACTGGCAAGCTCCCATTTTCGATAAGTGAATCAGTAAATGAAAAAGAGAAGGGCAGAATGTGTGTTCATGCATGCTGGTCAGGTGATGAGTCATACAGAGAGATCCTGATGCATGGTGTCATACTCTGTCTCTCTTTAAAATGCACACACATATACACACCTCTGACACATATGTCTCTGTGTATCTTCATCTGAATCAGATGAACTGCCTCACCCTCTCTGCCTCTGTCTTTCTTTCTCTCTCTAGCAGTGGCTCTCTACCTCCACCACCTTTCACCCAGCTGTTCCTCTTTTCCTTAAACACATGTTCCTCCCCTTCTCACGCAGATGGGATGGGTCGAGTCCTGGCTCAGGACGTTTATGCCAAAGACAACCTGCCCCCCTTCCCTGCCTCTGTCAAGGATGGTTATGCTGTCAGAGGTGAGTACCATAAATTACGACAAATCATGTAAAATATAAATTCCTCTTCTCTCATTCTTCTTTTCTATCTCAGATCCTTTTACTAGACATACTCTCTAAAATAGTGGAGGTATAGTAATATTGTAGACTTAGAGACATGTACATAATAACAAAGGGAGCAGCCTGATCATGCAGGTCAGTGTGAGCATCAGCCAGTGATGCACATTTTAAACATACCAATATACAATGTAGGTTAATTGCACATTAGAAACAATATGTATTGTAGCCAATGTTCTGCTCATATAATGCGTTCATTTTACCAACAACTCAAGCAGACAAGACAATGTTTAATCCATTACTGGTCCTTTTTCGATCTTTTTACTGTGATTTTATCTTGAGGCACAGTTATGGAGCACTGGAGGCTTTGCAGCTGGTTGCACCAGCTGTTCATAAATCCCAGCTTTCCTTGATTATGAGTGAGTAAGTGTTTATTAAATGAAGACTACAAAGACTCTGTCAGATGTAATAGTTACAGAACCAAAAGACAAAATGGACTCTGGCTTGCATGTGACCTGTTTAAAGCAAAGAGAACACGCGCTAATGAGATATGGTCCATACAACTGACATGACACTTGTTCAAAATGCTGATTAATTGCATTGTATTGACAAACAGATAAACAAACAGATATGATATTGATACACTAGATTAGAAGGAAGAAGTTTTGTCAAAACATGAATACAATAAAATAAATGATCAAATAAAAACCTTAATCTTTTCACCAAACTGATTTAAACTAGGACAACTGGTTTAAAAAATACCACAATATGCCTGACATGTTATACTAATTATGTCAGTCATGATCTTAGTATTGCATCGTCAACATCAACATTTATTTCAGAGTTAACCATTGCTAACTCTGAAATAAATGCAGTTTGCAGATCCAGTTAAATCAAGTAATGCCTACATTTATAAAGGAAAGCTCATTGGAATATGTTCTTTGGTCTCCTACAACTCGTATTTTTGAAGTTTGGTTATCCTACATGCCAACTTCGTTTTGTTTCTTGTTTTTCATTGGCCATTGCTGTAAATTATTCCCAGCAACCGGTTCTTAGTGCTGTGATAACTCATCAGAGTGGGTTCCCAGGTGAAATCCGAGTAAGGTTGGTTGAGTTCTCTTCTCAGTAATTCAATGGCTGGGAGTACTGGAGAGCACTGAGGGACCTGTTAACCTGGAGAGCAGGGGACAGCTTGCTGGCTTCAGGCAACTCAAAAACTCCTGTATGTAACATCTGCTGTTAGCTTCTTCTGATGGAGTAGGAGGAGCAGAACACCACAGGTCTCGCTGGAGAATATGCATCTGTTCTGAGGGCCTGGTGCCTACTGAGACATAGATGTGCAGTTTTTAGAGATGTTAGTTTCTAGACTTTGGGTGTGGATGAAGCTAACAACATACAATATATACACGTTGCCTCATAGGATGAAAGAAGTCCTAAGCTTATAGCCAGATATGTCATAGTCACAAATGATACATAAGTCAGAAGTTCCTTCTTCATGGTATCAGTAATAGACGAGGCTGTGGCCTTTATGTCTTGTGAGTGTGATGCATTTTGAACAAGTATGCAACGGGGGTTCATGCCAAGAACTGCAAAGGCACTTCCTAAGAGGTCAGGAGAAATGCAGGGAAAGATAAAACATGAAGTCTTTAGTACAGGATGCATCTGGGAGTTGAGAATAATGAAAACCTTACAATTCCATAAAGTCAGTTGTTCAAAGACTTGAAAAAACAGTTACAGCAATTTTTTTAGGTCAGCAACTTTTGTTTTTTTAGTGTCAATGATAGTTTAAATTATTCCACAGGAAAAGAGTTTTGAAATAACTAGTTGGAAAGCATTTATTCATCGAAATGTTTAACCATGAAATCAGAGAAGTTTTACTCAATACATTTTGTCAAAGAATACTTTAAAGTTTAAAGGGCATTTGTGTATCTTGTGAAGTCTCATTCTTTGGTCTGTGTGTTTGGTCTGTAGTATAGTATCTTTGTAGTTGCCTAAGTCAGATATTTGGCAATATTGAAATGGTTGGTCTGTATACACTTTAGAAAGGAGGGCATGATTCTAAAAATGTCAGACCACTGAAATTGATGTTCATGCAGTTCTTGGCATGATCACCTGCAGCATACTTGTTTAAAATGCATCATACTCACAAGACATAAAGGCCACAGCCTTGTCTGTTATTGATGCCATGGAGAAGGAACTTCTGACTTATGTATCATTTGTGACTATGAAACATCTGGCGATAAGCTTAGGACTTTCTTGAGCCTATGAGGCAAAGTGTATATATTGTATATTGTTGGCTTCATCCACACCCAAAGTCTAGAAACTAACATCTCTAAAAACTGCACATCTATGTCTCAGTAGGCACCAGGCCCTCAGAACAGATGTGTATTTTCCAACAGTTTTCTGATGAATTTCTGATCAGTAACCCTGAGCATTGACCATTGAGGCAACACTACCCATGGCTTAGGCAGAAGAAAAGAGCACACACAACCTGCTACAGCTGCAGGCCGCTGCAGGACAGAGGGGGATACCTTGTGGGAAAGTGGTTCACATGTGCCCCATTATGTTGCAACATGTGGTAACATTTACGTGTTTTTTCTGTAAGGAAATGTTTAAATACTGCATCTGATTTTTAGATGTTCAATTAAACAAAGACATTTTTCTCTCTCGCTCTCTTTCACATATTTTCTGCTGCACCCATGTGTAATGCCATTAAATCTTTCATTTATTTTAGCGGCTGATGGCCCAGGCGACCGCTTCATCATTGGAGAGTCCCAAGCTGGAGAGCAGGTCTGTGTCCACATTGACACCTAGACTCATATGTTTAGTCTCACTCTTAAAGAGACCCTCCCACTCATATACAACCATACAGCCTGGATGTAAAACTGAATGACCTTACTTCTGTTCCTCACCTCATGCCTTGACCAACTGTAATTGCACATTTGCAGGTGATGGGAAACCCTGCACTAAAGAAGTTCTACAAAGTCAAACTAAAAACACATTAGACCTGTGAGACAAGAATAGGCAACAGTGATTTACTGACTACCTCAGCATCTCACATGCCTGTTGACATACCCTTTGCGATGTCTGCAATTTCTTTGATATATATTTTTAGCGTGTTTTTTCGGATATGTTTAATAATTTTACTCAAAGTCGTCATCAGTTCTGAGAATGTACTGTGGAAAACTTGGTAACAAGCCTTTTGTTGTTTTTAGTCATATGCAATAGATTTTTTTTCCCCCCCAATGGGAATGTGACGGCTGAGAGCCGCTCGGCATGCGGTGGGACCCAAACGAAATAGTAGACTGGGTTAAACGGGAAAAAACAGGCTTATTAAGGCAATCCGGGAGGTGCTCATGTAACGATTCTTCGTGCCCATGCTCGTGTGGGGATTTCCCATGCCAGTGCTCGTGGAGGGTTCTCTCGTGCAGGTGCTCGTGAGAGGGGGGAAATCCTACTCCTACTACTCCTACTACTCCTACTCCGACGGACGAGAGGGACACCCCTGAGACACAACGCCCTGAGCCGGTAGAGATGGCGTCGACCCGCTCGGAAACAGGATCAGAGGCAGCGTTGACCCGCTCGAGAACAGGAACAGGAACTTGCTCAGGGGCGGTGTCGACCCGCCTGGGGATGGCCAGGATGCAGGACCAGTGTGGTGGGACTGGCGGAACCTCAGTGACGCTCGGTGGTGGGGTCTGGGCGCTGGGGAGCGGTGAGGTCCGGTGTCACCAGAATCCATGTTTCTTCTCCGGGGCAGCGGACTGAAAGCAGTGCGCATGGCACAAGATGATCCAACTGGAGATAGTGGACGTTCCCCAATCCAGGTGGGGATTGTGTTGTTGCAGCCAGGGGGAACCCAACACTCCAGGGGCTAAGGGTGAAGAGATGAGCTGGATGCTCTCCCAATGGTTCCTTAAGATGATCAGTGACAGAGGAGGGCTACGAGTCTGCCATTTAAGGTACAAATTATGCCAGGGGTCTCTAGGAACTCCAAGGGGGCATTTTTCTGACTAGCAAACTCTGAATGAAGAAAATTGTCAGAAGCCCCAGAATCAATTAAAACATGCAAAGAACAATCTCGAGATTCCATGTGCAGGTTCGCGGGTAGAGTAACGGGGGGGGGGGCAGTAATGGGAGGAATCCAGGGAGGATCCGGCACTGGCAGATGCCGTTTGGTTCAGCTGGGAGGAAAATCCTTGGACGTTGAGGGAGAGGGCCTGGAGGTAGACCATTAGCCCGTGTAAAAGCTGGTCATGCTTTCCAAGCAGGGTTCCTTGTGCAGTAAGAGGCTCCTTAACGGTGCTGGGGTTCCTGGATCCATGTCTTTGGCCAGACGATTCTGTGACGGCTGAGAGCCGCTCGGCATGCGGTGGGACCCAACCGAAAGAGGAGACGGGGGTTAAAAGGGAAAAACAGGTTTGGAGCACCAGGAGGCAGATGAGGAATCCGGGGTGGTTGCGCTGGTGTAGCGGTGGTGCAGGAGGGTGATTTCCCATTCCAGTGCTTGTGTAGCAATTCTTCGTGCCAGTGCTCGTGGAGGGTTCTCTCCCGTAGGTGCTCGTGAGGGGGTAAAATCCGGCTCGTGCTCCCGAGGTGGATAAGGCTGGCATGAGAGGCGGATGGCTGGACGCTGAGACCGGCGGAGGAGACGCTGGAGAACAAAAAGAGGACAGCAACGGTTACTCAAGACTTGAGACAGCTTGGCAAAAAAGCACATGTGCTAGAGACTGTAGCTAGACTGCCTGAATGTACCACTCGTGGTGTTCACAATCGTCTGGGACAGGAGTTCAGGTGAGCAGTGGCTTTAACCTGTCCGCTGATGAGGCGGACATTTAACGCGTCTTAGAGGAAAATAAGTCACCCAGCTGTGCCAACGAGGTAGCGTCCTCCTCTGACCAGCCCCGCCCAACCTGAAAATGAGACGCACAGCCAACCGAACACACATAAAAACAGCAGGATCCAAAACACACAGTAAAATGCGTCCATAATCACCACAGGGAATGCTCAATCAATGGCTCGCACATTTGACCATCCATTGATAATTCAGTTAAAAAGTGAGCCAGTTACATACTACACTCTTGGTAGAGTGAAAATCATGTTTCATCCTTACTTGGGATTACATTTTTGACTTATTTTTGTCTTTTCTGTGTATGTGCAGCCCACCCACACAGTGATGCCTGGCCAGGTGATGAGGGTGACGACAGGTGCCCCTATACCATGTGGGGCAGACGCTGTGGTCCAGGTGGAAGATACTGAGCTCCTCCGAGAGTCTGAAGATGTAAGTGTGGTATTTCAGCCAAAATAAAGGCAGCATACCTTAACTGAACCCAAACAGCAGCTCGCAGGAGATGGAATCAGTAAGATTTTTTTCAAATTTCACTCAGACTGGCTTTAGCCTAGAAATGAACAGAATACAGAAAGCATCTTGGTCGAGTACAGTCACACAGGCCTGATAGGAAACTGTATCTGTTTACTGTGATGGATCTGACTGCTGTTTTTTCTTTAAGGGCACAGAGGAGCTGGAGGTACGAATCCTAGTACAGGCTCGCCCAGGTCAGGACATCAGGTTAGTGTATTACTGTGTATGTGACTATGATGCAAAATTGTAATCACTGTATTTCTGAAATACTGGAAATGTGGTCCTCATTGATAGCGCTCCTCAGATTAACTCCCCCACATATTGGTTTGCCTGCCCACCTTTGAGTGCAGAGCTATCTATAGGTCGTACCTAGTTAAGGAAAGATAGAGTGTAAATACCTTTTAAGGGTGTGCTTTAGATTTTTGCCAATACTGTTTGCCTCTATTTAATTATATTGACCAATAAAATGCTGATTGCGATTGAAGGAAAACAAATGTTTGAAACACACTAAATACCTCATCTAGCATGTTAATATATGACACACTTTGGGGACTTTATTTGCTTAAAATTGTAAATACAAAGCAGTAATTGCAGTTTAGGGTTTTGCAGGTTTTTAATGCATAGTGCTTGTCTCTCTGTAGACCTATCGGTCATGACATCAAACGTGGGGAGTGTGTGCTGGCAAAGGGAACTCATATGGGCCCATCTGAAATTGGTCTCCTGGCGACTGTTGGAGTCACTGAGGTGGAGGTCCAGAAATTCCCTGTGGTGGCTGTCATGTCCACAGGAAATGAGGTAAAGGTTCCAAAAAACATTATTTCAATATCAGATAGATGCTCAAAATTCACAGCGTCTTTATTAGCCAAAAAGTTCAGCCCAGGCTGCATATTAATGCACATCAGCTTTGTTTGCTTTGGCTACAGACACCAGAACAACATTCTGAGGGGAATTTGCATGTAGCTGTTTTATATGGACTTTCAGTTGTAAAGAATGTCAATATCAGTGACCAGGTGGTCAAACAATCACATTTTTGCATTTTCTATGTGACTGATGCGTAGTTTATATTTCATGGGTTGTTTAGCCCGCATGGAGATTGTTGGCAGACTCTGGATAACACCACCTTACTCCTGGTTTAAATATATGCTACACAGATCAGTCTCTAGTCACAAACTCAATGGCTACATATTAAACCTATGTACCTATTTGTTGATGTCTTGTCCTTGTCTGCTTTCTGATGTGATCATCTGATGAAATAAAAAGAAAAATTGATATACTTTCATTTTCTTCTCATTCTTAACCACACTTTACAGAGTTATTGTCTACTTTTACCCTCTATTTTTTGGAATATTCTTTCATATTAATGCAACATTTTTGATACATAGAAGTAGAGAATAGAAAGCTTGACGAGAGCTGTTGTTTACAACTGAAACTAGACAGTATGTTTTTCCACAAAACTTAATAAGCAACAACAAATGGGTGTTAATTTAAAACTTCAACAGTGACTTTTTTTATTTTTTTTTAACTGAGTGACATTTTTCATAATCACTGTTTAAGCCTTTTTCAGATTTCAGATTCTTCATTCTTGACACAGAGAGCAGCGTAAACACACTGACAATCTGACTATAAACAAAGTAAATTTGCCAACAAGAACTACAACTTGTCTTGTTTTCTAGCTGAAGAATTATTTCTTTATTTACTTTGTTGTCACCCTAAGAGATGAAAAGAATATTTTGTAATAAGCATCATACAGGATATGGTTGACTTGAAAGACGGTTGTTGAATAAATAACAAGTGTTTCTAACATTTTGTTTCTCTTGGTGTGTTGTGGTAGCTGCTGAACCCAGAAGACGACCTCCATCCTGGAAAGATCAGGGATAGCAATCGCTCCACCCTGCTGGCCACTATCCAGGAACATGGCTACCCCACTATCAATCTTGGCATCGTGGGAGACAAGTACGCTTATTGATCTAGTCTCTACCAGGACTTCGTTTCACCCCTTTACACTCCCAGTATAATTTTAATCATCTTAATGTTCTTCCTCTTATTCAAAGCTAGCTCTCAATTTTCATTCTGCTGCCATTATTTGGTCTCCTGTGAGTTACTAAATGTTTGCTTTAAATGTGTTTACATGTTTCTCTGTTCCGTGCAGCCCTGATGACCTTCTCAATGCTCTGAATGAAGGCATCAGCCGTGCTGATGTCATCATCACCTCAGGAGGAGTGTCCATGGGAGAAAAGGTAGAGAGGCAGAACATGCAAACATCCAGTAATGGCATTGTGTTTCACTGACACCTTGTGGCAGATGGAGGGAGGATTACAGAACTTATTTTACTGGAAATTTTTATAGGTGGTTTGGGTTCATTTATTTTTGTATTTTTTAATGAATTTTTAATTCTTAGTGGTAGTATAATTTTTAAAGCACAACAAAAGTTCTTTACATTAGAATCTTATGTCAGTATTCTTTTTGGGTTTATAATTTTCTTTATTTCTCATCTCTGTTTTAGGACTACCTTAAGCAGGTGCTAGATATTGATCTTCATGCTCAGATTCATTTTGGTCGTGTTTTCATGAAACCAGGGTAAGAAAAGGAATCTGGATCATTCTTACAGTTTACAGCACAGTTATCAAGTGCTTTGCAGACAATACACTAGAATGATACAACATAGAGGATACTTGAAATGTTAAATTCAGCATGTGTTCTTTTTTTTCAGTCTCCCAACAACATTTGCCACCTTGGACATAGATGGTGCTCGCAAATTAATCTTTGCCCTCCCAGGTAGTGTGTGAAGTTGAGAGAAAGAGTGATTCACCCGGCTGTTCACGCAGAGATGTTACTCATATATTTTCTACTATGCTCTGTTCTCCTGCTCTCCTCTCTCTGTCCGTCCATCCGTCCTAGGAAACCCTGTGTCAGCTGTTGTCACCTGTAATCTTTTTGTCATCCCTGCCTTGAGGAAGATGCAGGGCATTTTGGACCCTAGGCCCACTATCATCAAAGCAAGGGTAGGATGCACAGGGCTCAACCAAGGGCTCCTGACTTTCTGGCAAAGCCACACAAAGTTATTCACATTTTCTACAAAATGCGTTTCTTTTGTGTTTTTGACCAAGCTTAATGTCTCCTCTGAGGTTGGATTTTTTGACAGTTATTGTTGTGATAAACAAGTTTCTTCCAGGTCCTATTAGACTTTATCTCGGGAAGGATGGGTCTTTTTCTCAACCTCTCTCTCATGTTGGAACCAGTCTTCCAAAGTGTCAACATTGGAGTATAGATGCAACAAACTGCAGCAGAGAGTAAAAATAAAACCTTGGAACATTTAAAGTTATGGTTTTTATTTCTAGGCTGTATCATTGCAGTCCATTGCATCTTAATTCATGATTTAATAGTATTTTCATCATCTGCATGATACATATTTATGACCACAATGTTTTGTTCTGACTTGGCAGAGGAACCAATCATGGCCCACACTGACCTGAAGGCCTGCTCCCAGGTCATGAATATTCATAAGTGTAAAGTGATAGAAATTATAATATCATTATACACTATGAGCAGAGCTCATGTCCCCAACTAGCACCATCAAGCAAGAGATCTCGTCCTGTGGCACTATGGGTGCTATCCAGGTTGCCATGTTGCATCATGTGCTGTTATAAAGCAGTTATAACTCAACTTGAATGCATTGCTGCCACTTAGAGTTGGGACTGATGGCCTGAAAGCACAGATGTCGCCACACAATTTCCCTAAACAGATAGCATCAGGCCCAGGTCAAATAGTATTCTGGAAAAAACATTTTTTTGCCAGCAAACTTAGGAAGGATTTTGACTAACTTTAGTTTGCCCTTTTGCTTATAAGAAATTCTATGAAGTTTTAAACTGTATTTAGCAGAGTTTGAGGGAGAATATTGCTTCTTACCTAAGTTAAGTATATTTTGGTGATGGAATTTTTTTATGCAGTGAATCTCATACATATTATGATGTTAGTGCGAAACTGCAATACATATACCCGTGGTGATAAAGACGGTGTGTTGACATATAGAATTCAGTTTTATTGCGTATTTTTCTCTAGTTGTCTTGTGATGTGAAGCTGGACCCTCGCCCTGAATACCACCGCTGCATTTTGACATGGCATCACCAGGAGCCTCTGCCGTGGGCACAGAGCACAGGTACAAAATCAACACCAGTAAAAATAGTACTCTGAGGAATGTTCTATGACAACCACATCCCCCAACTAAACTCTAGCTATTCACTGGTTGATGGTATATGTTGTTCAGTTTATTTTGTTTAGAGCGCTGATGTAAATTACTTTGTTCCCTCTGTGTCGCCCTCTACAGGGAATCAGGTGAGCAGCAGGCTGATGAGTATGCGCAGCGCTAACGGGCTCCTGATGCTACCTCCAAAAACAGAGCAATACGTGGAGCTGCACAAGGGCGAGGTGGTTGATGTCATGGTTATCGGCCGGCTATGATGTCATCACAGAGGGACAGAGAGGTGGCGACGTATAACGAGGGTTGGAATGGGTGGTTCACGGTGCATGTCCACATATCATTGACTATTCTGTAATATGCAATGGCACAGCTAGTTTTTATTGATTTGGATAACGTTGAGGTATAGTCAACATCTTGATCACAACCTAGATACATATGAAAAAATTAATTTAAAAAGATTATAGTATTTCAAACAAAGAAAATATAACTTTTAATGAAAAAATCTAATTATAAAAAGAGATTTATTCTGTAATATATTATTATGATTATTCTTATTATTATTATCATTATTCTTCTTATTATCATTATTATATTAAGGCAACTTCGTTCCTTTCATTGCAATTGCTTTGTGTGTTCAACGCTAGACCTTATCTATAGAAGTAGCATTTTAATAGACAGCTGTAGGTGCCTGCCAGGACAAAAAAAAAAAAGAAAATTATTATTTTCTCATCATTCGTGGAAAAAAATAATCTGTTTTTTGAAAATGAAGAAAACATTGAGGAAGGCTCCAGATTTCCCATGGTGCTCAGCCAAATGGAAGAGGGGGCACATCAAGGCCAGTTCCTCTTTTGAGCATCCATCAAGGTGACACTTCTGTTTTTCTCTCATTAGTATGCATCATAATGGCTTCACAAAGAGCTTTGCTTGTTGTTTATCTTGTGAGTCTCGTTTATGTGCGCAGTGCCAAATGCCTGGGCAGGGAGAAGGTGGTGGGAGGGGGAGGTGGGGGGCACACCCCTGTTGGCCCAGACCCTGAAGCTTCCTTATATTCATGGTGACCCCACCAGGGGTGAGCTGAACCTGGGAAAAATAATATTTTATTTGATCAACTATTTAAGAAAAAAAAAAAAAAGAAAGAAAAGAAACAGCTTCTTTAAGTGCTGACAGCCTTTTTAACCAACTTCACAGAAATGTACAGAAAAAATAAGAACCATATTGTACAGATATATGTGACCAGCACTCCTATGGAAACTATTAAGCAATGAGGAGACATTGAACAACGCTGTACTATAACATTTTCTGTAATGATATGAAACTGATGAAAGAGACTAAGATAATAAAAATCCTTGATCATTATGTAAAAAAAAAGTTCTTGTTGGGTTTCCTTTTTTAATAAAATATACCTAATGAAAAAACAGTGATTTTCTTCATTGCTGCAAAACGTTTTGTAGGTGGTATCCTAAAGGTCTGGGGAGTGCATGAATTTTGTATGAATGATTATCTTACCTCCTTCACCAACCACTGTCAAGGTCCATGAGCAGAGCACCCTGGTGAACACAGCTACTAAATGTGAATGTGATGTAAATAAAGGCTTCTAGCCAACATCCCTCCACAGCAATGGTGAAAAATGACATTACTTTACCATTATAAGACATTACTGTATTTTGAGATACTTCACTTGAATATTTTGTAGCTCACCAATAGTTAACTAGATTTAGGAGGAAAGTATTGTGCTTTTTAACCACACTACACTGTTTGACAGCTATATTTACCAGTTACTGTTTCAGATTAGTATTTTACAAAAGCATTGTCATGTTTCAAATATATTTGGCTCTTTAGCATGGTTTATTTAGTTAACTGTTTAGGGCCCAAAGAAATGCAGTTGTCCTACATTTCAGAACAAAACCAAACCTCTCTAAGACTGAGTTCCTTGTCATCCCAGTCAGTCCCTCTCTACAACAAGAAATCAACATTGAGCTTGATTCAACCCAACTCAAACCCACAAAATCTGCCAGAAACATGGGTGTCATGATTGATGACCAACTAACCTTCAAGACTCATGTGGCCTCTGTTGCTTGACTGTGTTGATTGGCCCTGTATAACATCAGGAAGATCATACCTTTCTTGTCTATTCATGCAACAAAACTCCTGGTACAGGCTCTTGTAATATCACGCATGTCATCCCGCTGTTCAGATCGCTTCACTGGCTTCCAGTTGCTGCCCACATCAAATTCAAAACTCTGACACTTGCCTACAAAACTACAGTGAGAACAGCTCTGTCCTACCTGAACTCTTTCATTCAGGTCTACACTCCCTCCTGCTCACTACGCTCGACCAGCAAAAGCTGTCTGATACAATCACCACAACAGGGCCCGAGGTCGATAGCTGGACTCCTCTTCTCTGTGTTTCCCCAGTGGTGCAACGAGTGACCAAACTCTGTTTGATCTGCAGAGCCCCTCTCAGTCTTTAAGAAAAGACTAAAGACCCAGCTCTTCACTGACCACCTCTGCACTTGAAAGACTGGGAAAAAAAAGAAAGAAAAAGAAAAGTCCTGTTACCTCCCATACTGCCTACTGTTGGCACCAATGTGCTATCACACTTGAACTTGTTCTATGGCACTTATCTAGATTGTTTTCTCCTGGCTAGATTCTTGTTTGTGTTGTATCTACTCTCAGATGTACGTCGCTTTGGATAAAGGCGCCTGAAATGAAATTGTTAAACTGTTGAAAATTTAAAACAAAAGGGAAGTCTTCATATATCTATTACATTAAGCAGGTGCGTCAGAGAGGGACAAGTACGTCCAACATGTAGAAAACAGATTCCCACACACTCTCTTACTTGCAATGGTACATTGAATAGTGCAATGTTTTGGTCCTAGACATTCATCAGGCAAATCTAAATTTCATCAGCAAAAAATTTGCCTGATGAAGGTCTAAGACCAAAACGTTGCAGTATGAAATGTATGATTGCAAGTAAGTTAGTGTGCGGGAATCTGTTTTCTACAGAATTGTAGAAAATCAAACGTTACCAAATGAATTAGTACAGATTTTCCTTCTTTTCTTGTTCTTCCGTCATGTCATGGCCCCTCAGTCATTAAAACTGTGTTAATCTGTTTACTTGTGCACTTGTTCTTATGTGAGGGTTTTAACACAGGACTTCAAATTGTAATTGAGTATTTTTACATTGTAGAACTGTTACTTTTGCTTAAAGTGTCTGTGTACATCTCCCACCATTGCTCCTACAACAAACAAACAAAACACACAGCACTACAATGAATCAGTGCAAACCAAAGGGGGTTTAAACTGTCTCTCTTTCCAAGAGTAGCAAAAAATCAGGAACTAGCAGGGGAGAGCAAATGAGGAAAAATGGTTAAGCACAGAGGTGTCAGAAAAGATTAACCTAATAGAAAATACAGTGGGTAAAAGGCAGCTTCTGGCTTTGGTGAAGATATTTATGGGGCAGCATGAGATTCGACACTTTCTCCTCTTCTCTGCAAAGTGACATGCCAGTAGATCCTATTAGCTGATCATGAGCAGTCGTTCTGGGACAAGAACTTATTTAAATGTATCTTTGTGAATATGTATAAAATGTGACCAATGTGAGGAGATCAGTTTGAGAATGACTGTAAAAAAATAACTGCAAATTCTTCATACCCTTAAGTGCAAAAAGTGTGGGTATTTGATTGAAGATTTATTTTATTTATTTATTTATTTTTAAGTAAATTGGATGAGTAGAGATCAGTGTAGGGTAGAAAATAAGATGTACTTATTTCCACACCAAAGCAAGTGATTGCATTAATTACAATTATTAAAAAAACCTTTGAATTATTCGTCCAGCGATGTAATCTCAGTCAGCACAATAATTCTAATAAATTGTTACTCTTGGTGATCAGTCAAGAGTGTTTTATAAAGTTAAGGGAATTAACTTAGAGCTTAGGTAACTAAAGATCAGATGCGTAAATGACTGAAAGTAAGCTATAGAAAACACAGGAAACAACTGTATACACACACACACAACATTTATTACTAACTAAAACAAACAAACAAAACACAACAATAAACATAAAATATAAAATACAAACAATGATGGAAATGCTGGTTGAGAAATATGAATGTGAAAACCTGAATGTGGAGCAGAGTAGTGGCTTAGAGACTTAAAAGTCTTTTCACCCGAAGCAGCAGATAATCTGTTAAATTTGGAATGTTGGTCGAAAGGCCAGTTGTAGCTCGATACTTGCAGTTTCCTTGGCGGGTGCAGCAGCGTCTGGAGTTGGGAGACGAGGCCTTCAGCTGGAGTTGGATCAGGGTGTGGCAGTTGGAGTTGCTAACATTGGACCAAAGTGGGAGATTCTATGGCCTTCAGAAAATCCGCGGTCTTTCAGGTGAAATACCTTTTAATAGTAAAACTGACCAATCACAGCGAGCTCCCCTCCCAGAGGGGCTGTTAGATATGATGCCCCTGTATCACAGGGGGGTCATGAAGTGGTCATGAGGTGATCAGAGTACTGGTACTGTGTCTTCACTGTTCATTCATAAGTTCAGTTGTTAAGTTCAGTTGTTGCATGTCACTGGAAATGAGGGGTCAGCAGAGCAATACGTTAAGCCCGGGGCACTACATTGCACCCGGCCATCTGTTAAGGTCCGCGTGGTTGAATGTTTTTCTTTGTCTTCCCCCAAAAGCTTCTTTGTGTTAGATCTTCTGAAGCTCTGATAGGTGTGATAAGGGAATTCCTAAGTGGGCTCTGCTTGTCCTGGCTTTGGCTCCCCCGAGTCTGCAGAGCTCATTTACATGACCCTGTGGCCTGCAGAATAGTTCTGTCTTTTATGACATGTGACTGGATACTGGAAAGTTCAAATGAAGCCTCTTGAATCCTTTTGGCATCTGTGTCTGTCCATATCCTACATCAGTCAAAGCCTACCTGAAGATGGAACCTGTAATTCATATTTATATTTAAAACCAGAGATTCAAAGAATAGGATTTTTTCTAATGCCACCTCTTGTGATGTGTTTATGCATGTGGTTTACATCTGGCAGATGCTTTCTTTCTGCATCTGTAACCTCTCTTGCAGCAACATCCTGCAGCAGTGGGCACACACCCTTGATCTGATCCAGCTGTCAAGAACTTGTGAACATCTTAAAACACACAGAAACAGACAGTTTTGATGTCCAGAGCAGAAACATTTAGGAGGAGGTGAACCAACAAAAAAAAACTGTTATAGAAGTGGTTTTTTGATCACCAAGCCACTGTACGTGCCAAAATGTCCTTGGGCAAGATGCTGAAGCCCAGTGAGAGAGCTTGGCCACCATTGGTGTGTGAGAGTGTTGGTGTGTCAGGGAGTAAATGAGAAAGACATTTTGCTTTGTAAAACCTAGCTAAAGATAAAAGGTACAATAGTGTGGACAGTGTACACTTTCTAGTGGTCATCCCTAAAGTCAGGAGACTGATCACAAAGACCAAGACCTATTTACCTGTTACATTATGCTCCGTCAATACAATCACATCATACAGACAAACTTTAAGATTTAAGGTCATTGAAGAAAGCTACAGTCCCTGGGCAGCACCAGTTGTTTTAGTGCGTAAGAAAAATGGTGCATGGCGTTTCTGCCTGGACTACAGGAAACTCAATCAGGTCATGATTAAAGACTCTCACCCTCTTCCCAGAGTGGATGACGTGCTTGATGCTTTGTCAGGCTCTGCTTGGTTCACTACCATGGATCTTCAACATGGCTACTGGCAAGTTGAGCTTGAGGAGTCAGATCGTGAAAAGACAGCATTCACGACAGGCAGTGAACTGTATCATTTCAAAGTTATGCCCATGGGACTAACAAATGCTCCCGCCACATGCCAACGTTTGATGGAAACCGTGCTCCGTGGCCTCCCATGGAAAACATGCCTGGTGTATTTGGATGATGTGCTTATCTACAGTCGATCCTTCAGCGAACATCTCCAGCACTTAGAGGAAATCCTCTCCAGACTCCATACCAGTGGCCTCAAGCTAAATCCAACAAAATGCTGCTTTGCCAGAGATCAGGTTAAATTTCTGGGTCACGTGGTATCCAAGTATGGCATTCAACCAGACCCAGGGAATGTGAAAAATGTTCAGGACTGGCCTACTCCACATTCAGCAACTGAAGTAAGAGCCTTCTTAGGACTCTGCTCTTATTATCAAAAGTTTATCAGGAACTTTGCACATCACAGTGTCCCCCTACATGCACTCACAGAGAAACATGCACCCTTCAAATGGACTCCCCAGTGTCAAGATGCGTTCACCTATCTGAAACATGCACTCTCAAAACCTCCAGTAGTGGCATTTCCTGACTTCACCTTGCCATTCACCCTCTACACAGATGCTTCGGGTTCAGCCGTTGGTGCTGTGCTAGCGCAGAAACATGAACGTCAAGAGAAAGTGATTGCCTAGGCTAGCCATGTTCTCACAAAAGCAGAAAGAAAGTGGTCAACTTATGACAGAGAGCTCTTTGCTATTGTCTGGTCCATAAGACATTTCCGCCACTATCTCCACAAACAGCCCTTTGTTATTGTCACAGATCACAAGCCTCTACTTGGTCTCAGACAGATTCCCATTGACAATGACAGAACTGGTCGACGTGCACGTTGGGCTCTTGAACTTGATCCTTTTGAGTGGACTGTATTTCATAAAGATGGCCACCGCCACCTGAATGCGGATGCAATGTCACGTCGCCCTGCTGACACCTCACAAACTGAGCAGAACATCACACACTATGATGAGACACACTCAACTCCTGTTAGTGCATCATGTCCTGTTGATTCTGTGCAGCCCCTCTACTCCTGTGAGGCTGACCCAAGACCAACTTCCCCTGATCAGACTAACTCTAAGCCTCCTTGTCCAGACTCACAGTCCTCTGCACAGTTTGTTTCCTCCACCTTTGCACTTCAACTCCCTGAATGTGATCTCAGAAAGGCACAACAAGAAGATCCTGCACTTTCAGAGGTTCTTAACTGGAAAGCAAAAGGTCGGAAACCACCACACTGGCATACGAAAAAAACGCACATCTGTTGAGAAAATACTTTGGCAAGAATACCACAGACTTATCTTGCATAATGGTTTGCTCTGCCGTAAAGTTGTCGTTCCATACTCTAAGTCGGTTATACATCAAGTTGTGGTCCCTCACAGTTGGAAGGACACTGTCTTAAAACTATTGCATGGAAACCCAGTAACTTGCCACATGTCAGCTGACAAAGTCCTGAAACGTGCTCAATTACTGTGTTATTGGCCATTTATGTCACGTGATATCAAAGTGTGGTGCAAACACTGTACTCCATGTGATGCAAGACGGAGTCCCACACCTCATCACAGAGCTCCGATGAAAACCATTGTTGCTGCTGAACCATTCCAAAAAGTTGCAGCCAATATACCCCGGTCGAAACGAAACGAATGCTAAGAATGAGAGCTATAGGTTACTTGCATGATCCCAGTTCTCAGAGTAGCATGAGTGAGATGTCTCACCAGACAGCCCTTCTTGCTGGGCAAAGCAAGAAGAGGTGCTTACTTTGAGTGATGCTGCATGGTAGCGCAGGCTACTTAAGGGTAGGGGGCTCCACCCGACGCAGTCGTCACGATCACCAGCCAATCAGGATTGGGGTAATGAGATAAATGCTTCTGAGGCATACGCAGGGGGTGTATCCCATCGTGAGACATCTCACTCATGCTACTCTGAGAACCGGAGTGCTAATCATGGTTGGCTAGTTGTCCGAAGTGAAATGGGTACTATCCATGTATCCATTACATGTTGTTTAAAATATAATGGCAACATCATTTCAGGGGCAACTATAAAGATTGGACTGATTGCTCTATATTTGCCCCTTGTCAGCGGTAACTATACACATACTATGTTTCTAATATACACTGTTGCCCATAAAGTTGGAGTAATATTTGCAATCGGACACATTCCTCTTTTTCTATTTCTACATGTATTCACTTTTGACCAATGATCACACACTGAGTCCCAGTTACCAGGTGAAACCAATTCTGACTTCAGGATCTGACTGAAGAGTGGGATGTCCTGCCCACTGACACCATCAACAAGCTGGTGGACAGTATGCCATTATGTCTTAACACACTGATCCATGTCAGGGGTGGCCATACTCAATATTAGTGACTGAGTGACATTTGAAAGAGTACTACTGGGCATTCTTCTGTATGAAATCCCCTTGAATATGGGTTTGCTGTTATATGACCAAGGAAAAAACTGAAAAACTGAAACAAAACTCTTAATCCTACTGTTCAATACCCCCAATTTTGTTCAAGCCTGAATACACATTTTGCAAAAGTTAATTGTGTTTTAATTGTTACTGCGATGTGTATTGTATGCATATTGTGATATCAATAAAGTTTTGAGAAGATATACACTTTATCTATCAAGAATAAATTACATTGTCACAATCATTCAATGAGAAAAGATTGAAAAAATATATACCAATTTTAAGGGCAACAGTGTATATGAACAAATACTTAAGTGTGATTTTTAATTGCAGAGATTATACAGGGTGTCTTACTTTGGGGTGTTGGTACTTTTACCTAAAATATTAATGTTACTGGTGTAATTACGTTTTAATCTAAAGTAACGGCTGCAGTTTGCCCACTAATATGTGTCCACAGCACCGGAGGCTGCACTGGTTGGACCTCGCAGTGTGGAAGTAGGGTTGTTGCGTGTCGGACAGACAGGGGGCGCTGGAGGCGCGGTGTTGCCAGGGGAGACGGCTCAAAACAACAGGCGCAGTTTCTCAGCAATGGCTACAAGTGTCCCGACTGAGCCTGGAGAAAGCCCACTGCAGCGCAGGAACGCGGTCCTGTGAAGACCGGGAGAGAGCTTGTCCTTTTCCTGTCCGTCCATGTCTGGTCGAAACACACGTTTTCTGAGAGAGAAAAGAAGAAGCTTTTTTTTCCAGGAAACCCGCTGAGCGTGCTGTTTGCGGCGGTGAGTAGCGGTCGGACGGCTACCGTGAGGCTACGCAGCACGTTAGCGGCAGCAGGCTGCTAAGCTAAGCTCTCTGCTGTTGTTACATTTGTGCCTAATTAATACAATTTTACACGTTTGCATTAAGAGCTGTGTTTAGTATAGGCATGTGTAGTACGTCTGTTATTGCCGCTGTGTGTGAACATGGTACAGCTTTCAGAAAGTTACACAAACCCGATCATAACTTTTAGAGAACAGGAAAGACTCGGTAGCTGTTATTCCTGCGCTGGTTTGTACTATTTACTTCAAGAAGGCAGCTAGTCGTCGTTAAAACTAGCTCTCTCACTAATTATTATAGTGTTACTCTCAGGTAAATGAATTGCAGTAGAGATGGACAGTATCTAACTGCAGCTACGGTACACAAATAAAGACAGTATTTCTCTAAATTATTTATTTGTTTGTTTACTTTTGTGAGTATTACAAAGTAGCTTACAGTTGTGCTGTAATTACACAAGCAGGATTTTCCATGTTTAGTCGTTGTCAGGATTGAGAGGGACTCACTTGAGTAAACCATGTGAGAATAGCCTTGTTAAGATCAGCTAAATACCACTTTGAAGGACATCACAACATGAAGACTAGTGACTGGTCTGCAGGTCAGTGGAGGATGCTGCCCTCATTTCACAGGGGGATGTGTTAGCTATTCAGAGAAGCCAATACTCTGAGCAGAAGGCAAAACCCACTCCTTATGCTGACAACTACCTCTGAAGCATCTGTGATGGCATATTTTCAGTTCCATGTACATGTAAGATCATCATTCAGGGTAGTATGTTGGTTTGTTGAGGAGATGTGATGTTTAATTTGAATTCTTCTGATTTTATCTCTGTGTGATCCTGGAGTATCTGTCAACTTAGTCTGCTCAGGTCATTGACATTACAATAAATGTTTAGCTCCTATTTACTTTCACAAACTTATTTAATCATCTCTATAATCTTTACTCTCGATTCCCAGAACTTGGTCCACATATGTAGCTGGTGCACTTCATCCTCAGTGTCCTACCCAGGGATCTCTGCTGCTTCCCAGAATTCCTTCCGGTGTTGTTGTGCCCACTGTGTTCATGCTCTCGTGAGCTAGAGTAGCTCGAGTAGAGCATAAGATCCCAGGTTTAATTAAGCCCACAGGAACAGATGGTTCGCTGGCAGTGTCTGCAGTTCATCAGCATTACACTGCCACTCTAAACGCAACTAAATGCTTCTGTAGGGGAGGGATTTGAAAGGTGGGGGATAGATCTGCCAGACATAATTAGCTCAGAGAAGTAGGTAGAAGAGGGGGAAGGTTGCTATGTGAAGATGGGTGACATGAGTGTATGACTGATGAAACAATATGTGCAACAAACTGTGTTTATCTGTAATTTCTCTATGGATTAAAAGAGTGTCATTATCTGGTAAGCTGTAGCAAAGAGGACAAATAAATATGAAAATGATTTTTCAAAATTGATAACAGCTATATGTCAAGCCTACAATGTATTCAGGCCACAGCTCCAGGAGGTTGGAGGAAAAGAGTCTTACCTCATTACTACACAACGACAGATATAGTGAAAAATCAACATGCTTTTGGCTTTCTAGATGTGTATCCCCCTATTTTGCCTCCAAAAACACTTTCATTCATCACTCACTGACTATTCTTGCATAATGACGTTCTGCTGTGAAATGAAGCTTGAGTTGTTTTTTGCCCTTTTTTTTTTTTAAACAACTAGAACCAACATAAGCTCCAAGTGAACATCTCTTGGTTAAACTATCAAATCCAGATTAATGCACGTAGCCTCCTTCAAAATAGATTGTAATCCACCACAGTCACAACAAAGTCCACAACATTGACAGATCAAGTAGCAATAGCCGGGTGTTGTGCATTACAATGAAATGCACTACATGTGTTTATTTAGGCATTTTAGTCTACAGATGGATATTTTGATTAAGCTGCTCAGGTGGACAATTGGGGACAGATGTAAAAAGCAAACGGCTGTACAAGGCTGAACTGAAGGGATTTGAGGTGACAGAGGCCAGAAAGCTTTCCATGTTAGGACTTAGATTAGTGAGTGTGTAAGATGAGAGCAGGTAAGAGCAAATGTCCTGATCAGTAGACTGACTGCTGAAAGGGGTACAATTTATTTATTTATTTGCATTTTTACATATGTTACAATGTGAAGACTTGGATGAACTTTAACATAAAAGCACAGATTAGAGATGAGGTTAACATGCCAAAACAATTTACTTATTACTAAGTTGCCATTTGTGAACAAATTAAGAAAAGTCATCCTGACAGTAATTAAGGGTCAGAAGGCAGCTGCTGAAATTGCATATTTTTAAAATATATATAGATTTTTTAAAGAAATTAGGGAAGGGCATACTCTTCTTGTGAATACAAAAATAAGATAAACAGATACAAATTGATTTAACTAACTATTTAGAAAGAAATAAAGTATCGACATTGAAACAGAAACGAGACATCAGGCCTGTTGTAAAGGAGTTTTTATTTGGGGGATTCATTTATTATAAATTGTTTATGAAACATCCTCAACAGGTCTACAAAACATTATAACACAAGTGAAAAATAGTCCAAAACTGTTCTTAACTAAAACATGCTCCGTTTCATGCAGTTAAGGAAAATTAGAAAATTCTCCTACAAAGAAGTTGGAACTAGGATCACAAAATGTATGTTACATTTTGTTTGAAAAATGATGTAATATATTGACGTTACGTTACTAACTAATCATTTTGGGTCTAATATAAAGTGATTTATATTATATGAGACTATAAATATAAATGTTTGCATGAATATATGCTTGAAACAATGAGGAATTTTGACAGCATTTTAAGTTGTATTAAGAAAGTATTCCCAACTACAGCCTGCAGAACAGGGCAGCGCTCAACGTTGAACAACATTTAGCCCCATCTACAGTAATTTAATTGGCTTAAATGTCAAATACAGGTGGGCTCAAACATCAGTTTCATTGGTTTGGACTGGGGATTGGGTGGAGTTAAACATCGCAGGTTTATAAAATAAAAGACTTGTGGCTACTTGTCTTCCATTTCCAATTCCAGTCATTTTTATTTTAAAAGCAGAATAGCAGCGCTTTTATTTTTACAAAAGAGCAAATGCCCTACTGTTCAATTTAGAAGGAACACAATAATTGAGAGGTGATACCATTCTGAATAAACTAAAGTTGATCTTACATTTCTAAAGGGATTTACTCTCTTAACTGTCTCTGTCTGTATTCCAGGATGACAGATCACAGCCCGAGCAGACTGGACTACATCTTCCACTGGTGTGTTATGGCTCCTGAGCAGAGCAGCCTCAGCATCAGCTCCTCATAACGCTTCTGCAAATCTCAGGAAACACTGGGCTGGTTTGAGCTCTACACTGTTGCAGCAGGGATGATTACATCCCATATAAACGGTTATGTGCAAGAGACCTCTGTCCAGTCCAAGAACCACAGGGAGAGGGCTGTGGACTGTCCAGGAGAGGAAAGTAGATTTGTCAAATCTCCACACTGCACTGCCCAAATGGAGAGAATCCAGCATTACCAGGAGGAGCTGAGGAAGAAGAGAGAAGAGGACAGCAGGGGGAAGCATGACATTGACCCCAATGCTTCTCTGAGGCTTAAGAAGTTATCACAGAACACAAAGGTGGGCATTGACAATCCCACCTTCGAGGCAAAGGAAAAGTCCACCAAAGACGCATGTTCCCTGGATCCTGTAATTGGTAAGTTAAGAGAAGAAGAGGAATGAGAGTTAAAAGGTCTTCATGAGGGTCAAGTTGATTGGACAAGGAAGGGATGTTTGAATGAGGCGGAAGGAGAAGATAAGAACGTAGAGTTGTGGGGTTTTCCGAAAATTGCGTGAAAACAAAAGGAGTCACAATGACTACTGAAGTGGCAGGGCAGAGGGTGCTTTTTGAGGAGGGGGATCTTTTGCCAAGGCTTTTAAAAAATATATTTCAAATTCTGATGCATTCTGACTTAGTTGTGTATAGATGATTTTATTACACTAAGAGTCAACAATGTGTTAGCATCAGGGGCGATACATGACCTTTGAAAGGCCTTGTGTCAGAATATAAATGTTTTTCATCAGCATTTCTTTACCGAAAAAAAAATAGAAAGCAGTCAGTCAAAACAACAGAGTTTGCACCATGATGGTACGACACTTTTAGACCCACATGTCATTTAACAGGATACTATCCTTTGATGGCAGTCTGTTAGTAATGGGCCAGCTGCAGGTAGAATGTGCTAGTGGAAACCACAAATACACAACTCAAGACTAGAGCCCTACCAACAGTGGATTTTTGGGCTGATGTTGGGAGTTTAAGGGTTCTGTGCAGTATATTAGCTGGTCCTGGACTGAGATCTTATATGTTGTCCCTGGAATGTGCTTGAGCCTCTCTCACAACCCCAAGTGCTCATATTCACCTGACCACAGTGAACGTCACCTTTCCCATCTCTTCCAGTTGTTCTTTCAGCCCCTGCTTCCCAATCTCCTCACCCTCCTTCTCTCTGTTGTTACTGTCAGCTGGGATTGCTACATCAACCACAGTTGCCCTCTTCTGCTTCTTATTGACCACCACTATGTCAGGTTGGTTAGCCAACAGCTGCTTGTCAGTCGGAACTTGAAGTCCCACAGCTCTGTTGTTCTCAAAACACTTTTGGGGGCTTGTTCCTTTTGAACTTGGGGGTTTCTAACCCACACTCAACACAAATGTTCTGGTTCACTATCCCGGCCACTTATGCCTCTACAACCTGCTACTATGTGCTGGACTGTCTCAGAGGCATTTTTACATGTTCTGCACCTGTTGTCCTGTCTGCTGTGGTGGACCCCTGACTTAATGGATGTGGTGCTAAGGGCCTGTTGTTGTGCTGCCATGATCAGAGCCTCTGTGCTGTCCTAAAGGTTGTCTTTTTCTAGCCACTGGTATGAATTCTTGATGTGAGGCGCCTACTCTATACATCCAGTTGATGGGTTTGGTCTTTAACAATATTTCCTCTTCCTTCTCATCACCCTCTATATTCTGCTGCCTGAGGCCCTGTGAGCCATCATCTTCCTGATGTACTCATGGATGCTTCTTGTTTCATTCTAAATAGTGGCTCTGAAACACACTAATCCTCGGCTACATGTGCTGAGTGTTGTAAAGAATGTGTGTGTGTGTGTGTGTGTGTGTGTGTGTGTGTGTGTGTGTGCGTGCGTGCGTGCGTGGATATATACACACATACATATATTCATACCAGTGGGTGAAACACTGCTTGGCTGCTTGGCTATATATATTAATTTATTTATTGAAATAATATTTCATATTGTTGCATATTTTAAATATATTTGTGTTAGGCTACTATCATCCAATATAAAAACCAGGCTTTATTTTGGGTCATTACAAAAGTCAGAAGTTTGTTGTCACTTTAAATTAAACCTGGGAGACAAAGAAACATCTTTAACAAAAAAAAAAAATTCTGACTTGTGTTAACTTGTTGCTTTGCTTTGCCTTTGTATTTCTGTTCCCCTATCCGTCTGTGCTTCTTTCTCAGAACTGGAGGAGTTGCTGCAGGCTCTGAAGTGGGTGCAACACTGCTTGGCTGATGCTCAGAGCCAACAAGATGTGGAGCTGATTATTCAGCTTCTTGCCAAGGAGGACTTCAGAAATGCCTATACAATCTACAGTGTTGTGTCTCAGCAGATGAACAGAGTCAGTCCCACCTCACCCCTCACAGCACAGGCACAGGACCTCTGTCAGGAGGTATGCATCATGGTCCTTTTGGAGCAACTTGTTACAGCTTAAAACATCTGCATTTCCTAATGTAGTTTATACTGGTGGATCTAGCAGTTTTTTTAGAGGTAACTGTCCACCTTTTTAATCAAGGAACATCGACTGTGTTGGGTTACCTTATGAGGCAAGAAGTAGTCTCTACTGAGGAGGCAGTCTGTGCATTCAGGAATAAAGGTGCTCAGATTGTACTCACCGATGTATAGTTTTGACTACATTAGTTTTTTATTTACTTTCAAAGCACTTCTGTCAGTAAACCAATAGAACAAACTCAATTAAATAGGAAAACCTTTGCTTGAGGTGATAATTAATTCAACAAAGCTAACCAAAAGACAGTCGTGCCATTCTGAATAATTATGATATGCAAATTGTCTTGTGGTCAACAAGTTGAGTGAAAACAAAAATGTGGGATTTGCGGGATCCAGGCTATGCAAGTAAATTGAGCGAGCTGCCAAAAAAGATTCAGAAAGCAGAAGAATGTATATCAGAGAATTTGGGTGAAAAGAGGATAAGATGACCAGGATATACTTTTGAGAGGAACGAGCAAAGGAAAGGAGTAAAGTTTCAACCAAGGTATGGCTTTGGTATACCTATGGTTAGTAAATATTTGAAAGCATGAGTTTATATTTGAATTACCTTTGAATGTTTATTATTTATTAGTTTAATTACTTTAATTAAATTAATTAGTTTCGTATATTTTATTTAGTTTTATTAATTTCCTATTTGTTTATAGTGGCTTCTACTGAGCTCCAGTATAGAAAGTGACGTAGAGGAAGGAACCATTTCAGTATTCACGTTTTAGTAGGTGGAAATCTGCCGCAACTGATGTCCTTGTTGACAAAACATTGTCAACTGGTCTCTGCTGAAAGGAAAGTAGTTGACTTGTGTCCCAGCAGAAGTGAGTCTCTGGACACTGAATGTTGAAATGCAGCCTGTCACACAGTGCAGAAAGATAGAACTGCTATACATCTATGACAGGCTCCACCCACAGAGGTTGACAATAGAATAGAAGAATACAATAGAATGACAATAATCCCTCATTAAGATTATTGTCGACCTCTGATAGCTGTGACATAAAAGAATGTAAGACAGACTTTTCAGCGCATTTTGCTAGCTGCTGTATGATTTTTGTCTGATGGCTAGATGTGTAATAGTGAGACTTGTTTTGATGAAACAGGCTATAAGCTGTGTAGAATTCATGTAAAAGCAAGCACTGCTACAAAACTGCTATTCCCGTACAACGGGGTGGTTTGAAGATAGAGGGGTTAGGTATGATGATCCAGTTTGCTTCTCACACTCAATATATTTTCTTCCCATGTACAGTAAATCAGTGAGTGCCCTCGCCCACCAGGCATGGCTCCTGACCTGCTTAACAGTGCGTAAGAGTTTGAGCCGCAGTGTGTCTAAACTAAGTGGCTGTGCTGTGTGACACTCACATTTGTCATTGGGTAAACTAATCTCCCAGCTGCTCTCGGTGCTGGCTGAGCAGTACAGCACATTGCAGGTAGGAGGCCAGGATCTGGGCGGCCAGAAAAAGAAACTCCATCAGCTTACAGCAGTGTGGGCTGAGGCACAGTGCTGCTGGGGGGAGGGGAAAGTGCGTCACCTTGTTAGTGAGAGCTTTGATTAGTGTAATGTATGAACTAAGCTTCAAACAGGAGGTGAAGAAGAAGCGTAAGGACAAAGTAGCATAATGCCAAAATGTCTGCTATAATCATTCTGTGAAGAGACCAAGCCACAAACAGGAAATGCATTGTTTTTCTAAATGACAGCACAAGAACCAAAATTATTAAAATAGAACCATGTGACAGAGAAAGGAATAAAAATGGAACAGAGTTGACAGTAAGTAAAGCCACTGACCAGAAATATGATACACTGTTATTCAGAATATAAATGTTTTTGTTGTTGCTTTATTTTTATTTTTTTGTTCATGGAAGAATGACATCTGCTGTGAGTTACGTAAGGATAGCCAAATGAACGATGTATATGTGCCCTGTATATGGATGCACATTGACTTATATGTCTTTTTATTTTTGCTGCAAGTTTGAGAGAATTTAAACAATTTTCTTACATAAAAATGTCTCATTACTCAAATGATTCACTAACATGTTTCTTAGAATGTATGCATGTTTAGGACACAGTCAGACATCACTTAAATACAATTAGTGTATTACAGATTTTTATGCATCATAAACGTTGTTTTAATGTTGTCAGTGAAATACTAAACACAGTGTTGTGAAAAACAGCACCCAGCTCAAACAGGCAAATAGGTTCCTCTTTGTTTTCTTAATATTTCTCTGTTCTGTCACGTTTATTGCCCACTAAAGTTCATGTCTTAAAGCAGGAGTGTCCAGTCCTGGTCCTGGAGGGCCACAGTCCTGCATGTTTTAGATGTTTCCCTCTTCCAACAAACCTGATTCAAATGATCAGGATCGTTATCAGGCTTCTGCAGAGCTTGATGATGAGCTGATCATTTGAATCAGGTGTGTTGGAAGAGGGAAACATCTAAAACGGCCCTCGAGGACCAGGATTGGACACCCCTGTCTTAAAGCATTATTAATTATTGTTTTCAGACTGTGTTTGAGGTTCATTTGTAGCTGCCTTCTAACTTAGCTGCTTAGCCTTTAGCCACTGTGAAAGCAGTACATTTTCTGGTTTGTGGCAACAACTTGTGTTTCTTGTTCAGTCTTTGTAGTCTCTGTTTGAGAGACATTTCTGAGACCACAGAGTGACTCCAGAAAGTGAGAGAAGGCACCATAAGACCTGAAGGAGCACATTGAATTTATCAATAATTTATTGATAAAAAATGGCAATAGCGATAATCGTAAAAATGCCAAATATTGACCATGGTAATCATCCAGGCTGATAATCGCTCTGTCCCTAGTCTGCACCAGTTGTCAGTAATTAATAAGTTAAGTTAACTGACTGTAGTCTTTATTGTGTTAAGATGATATCAAGATGTATATAGGTACTTAACCATTTGATCTGACCTAACTTGCTTACTGTAATTATCGCTCTAAGTGGCAGATATACCACCATGGTATTTTTTTTCTCACCATGATGTACCCCTTTTTCTGTTTAGGTACAGAGGATTCTTCAATCCAGCCATCAAAAGGAGGGTTTGGAGCTCAGAGCACTGCTTACCAATCCTCATCTCAAGGTCAGAGATCAGCTGTGACCTCCCCTTGACCTATATTATGATTGTAAATCGGCATCACAGAGATTAATTTGCAGAGACTTAAAGGCTGAATAATTTATTTCGTTGATATGCTGATAACTACACTACTGGAAATAGAATGAATGTTATACTGTCCTGTTTCCTAGACAGTAATTGTTTATCTTGCGTCTTACAACTGGAGGTCACAGATCAGGGTTAAGTATACAATATGCCGGTAAACCATGAGACTTAACAGCTTACCACCTCAAACACAGTTTCATATCCCTGTTGCCATTGTGCATGCTTGACAACAAGATAGAATAAATGGACAAATGGCCTATCATCATACAGTACACTGTGTTGTGCGTCAAAAAAAGAGTGAAATATATATAGTGATCAGACACCATACCAACACTGTGATAAGGTCATATCATATGTTGGTGGCCCTTGAAGTGGCAGAGTTGTGTCGCTTTACTCAAGGACACTCAGACAGAGCATGTCATTTTTGCACAGATTTCATTTACAATTATACATCTATTTTGTCTGTATCTGTCTCGTTATTATTCGGTGGTATTTGGGATGTACTAAGGTATTTTTTTCAGGCTCAACTAGTCCTGCTTTTGTTTGAAAGATTCATGTACTGGGTCTCAAGAAAGGCACTTTATGTATGTGTATATTTTTGTTGAATACAATCTTAAGCTTTGATAAAGATGTGTCATTTTTACTGCAATGAGTGAAAACATTGTATTCCTGACCAAGTAAATTCTTCTTTGAAATGCAGTAATAATGTCAGACAAATTAAATGTGAGTGATTGATCCATAAAGTATTGAATTTGTTATAAAACAAAAAACAAAACAATAACAATATATCTAATTGAATAATGGACCATTTTGGCTCATGCCTACTTGTTATAAAAGAGCATCTGATAAAAGTGAGCTTGAAGGGTTTAAAGTATTTATAATTAATCATTTGCTAACAGGAAATATCTTTCCTCTTACTACTCATCTTTATTGTCCACTTGGGACATACCTACACTTCAGTGTAATAAGGTGGAACTTTGCAGTAATGTGTTTATTAATTATCATACAGTGCATCGTCAAGGGCTGCTGTTAGTTGACTGGACAATCACAATGTTTCTCTAAGATGTGCCACTTACTCAGTCTTTACAAAAACTATTAACATCACAGGTTCAGGGCACTTCCACACTGTCTAAGCATTGCATTGCAAAAACACCCCCAAAAACCCTAATGCGTTGATTTTGGTTAACTGTACAGCTATTGATTGGTACTTCTGTTTAGCATTTTGTGAATCAACATATGAAAGAATCAAACATATTCTCAGACTACATTTCTACACTGAAGTGGCTGGAAAATATACCTTTTCAGTTTTAGTTTCAGTGATTCTTCTGGAAAGGAAATTCTTGTGACATTATTATTATTATTTTAAACTCTGCTGACTGGTCTTTTAAAAAAGATGTAACGTGACTACATCTGAGAAAAGGAGTCTGGAAATTTGCTTGATATCACATCTTCTGTTTCATTGTTTTATATTACAAGCACAAACGATTAACAATTTAAATACAACTGTACCAGGAATATTTGAGAGATATTTATTTCCAAACCAACTATAGCTGTTGTGAAAGAAAGCATCCTGCCTTCATTCCCTTTGCCTCATGCTGCCTTCTCCTGTGTTCATGTCTTTCTGTGTTTCTGTCCATTATGTGTTTGTAAATGTCTTATGTGCATACTGGTTGTCTATACATATGTGTATGTACTGTGTGTGTTAATGTGGCAGGCTCTGATGCAGGCCCATGACAGTGTGGCAGGGCAGGAAATGGCAGAGGAAAATGTGACTCAGTACCTCGGAGAGACGGTTAAATTAGTGCGACTGGAGAAGACCAGAGACACTCCACTGGTAAGACCCCATCGGGTAGCCTTGTGGAGTCACACTGATGCCTACCAACATTACTGTATGACCTTCAAAAAATTCTTACAGTCTCTTAGCCATTTCGACTGCTTCATGCTTTGTAGTAGAATTCCAAATATTGTGTATCAGCAAGAGAATTGTGATGAAAATCCTCACAAACACGAACAACGAGAAAAGGAGGTTATGAGGATAGTTGTGCTCATATTCAAGAACTTTAGTTGGCAGTTGGTAGAATTGTCAGTACAATAAAAACTTGCAAAATGTTGTTAGTTCATTAAGGAACACCACAACACAGTATAAATAGGATGTGGGAGACACTGGCGCTGATGCAATAGTTCTGACTGTATGGAGCATGTGTTGCTTGTTTAGTGAGATCCTCTTTGTCACTTATATGAACTCCATGCATGTGTGTGTTGTCATCAGGGTGCAACTGTACGCAATGACATGGACAGTGTGGTGGTGAGTCGTGTGGTGAAAGGCGGCGCAGCAGAGCGGAGTGGCCTCCTCAGTGAAGGAGATGAGATCCTGGAGATCAACGGGATTTCGATTCGTGGAAAACACATCAATGAAGTCCATGACTTGCTGGTGAGGACTATTATCTATTATTATTAAATGTTCTTTTGATTATTTTCAATAATTTATGTGAACATACTTCTGTTATGGCTGTATTTTGATATATTAGGACCGGGATTTTTTTCCAGTGTACCTTAAAATATCCTGAAAGACCTGAAAGAAAAATTGTGCGCTTTTAATGCTGCAGGGTGGCTCAGTGGTTAGCACCGTCGCCTCGCAGCTAGAAGGTCACCGGTTCGCATCCTGGTGAGGACACGCGGGATCTTTCTGCGTGGAGTTTGCATGTTCTCCCCGTGCAGCTCCTCTCCAGCTTCTCCGGTTTCCTCCCACACAGTCCAAAAACATGTTGAGGTTAATTGGTGATTCTAAATTGTCCATAGGTGTGAATGTGAGTGTGCTTGGTTGTCTGTCTCTAAGTGTGGCCCTGTGATAAACTGGCAGCCTGTCCAGGGTGTCCCCTGCCTTCGCTCTAAGTTGACTGGGATAGGCTCCAGGCTTCCAGGACCCTCGGCTTTTAATGCCATAATGTATTAAATGATGCGTCTTACTTGGCCCGACTGTTCTTTCTTATTTGTTGGCATTATTTTTCACTCACAGTGCATAAGCAATTCTACAAAAATTCTGAATTAGTTTGACAGACATTTTAATCTCTGAAATATCATTAAGTTCATTAAGGTATGCAGCTCTAAAATGTGTCTTTTGCCTGAGAAGACAACTAGCAGAATCATCATAAGTAAATATATTCATGAATTTAAAGATATCATTAGCATGTTAGCTAACATGCAAAAAATATGTTTTTTCTTTTTTTTTCTTTTTTTTTTGTAAACCAAATTCAGTTGTAATGTAAAGACCCCCTCCAGTGAAACATTTGTTTTTGTGGCCTGTTAACATGATCATATACTATATATTTTACATGCCAGAAGACACATCATGAGTGAAATAAGCAGTCAGGCCATGGATGAGCATTTCCACTTTCAAACTGCAGCACACTGCTGGCAGTCTCTAAACCACAGATTCAGACAGCACAGACATACCAAACCCAAAGAGCCAATCCTGTCAACTTACTTACAACTTTATGTATCATTGTTCTTTTTCAGAATCAGTTTATGGTTCCAGCATAAATGATCAAATTACTCCCAATAGTAGAAAACAACGTATCCCTGTTTTTCATTGCATTTCCTCTTTTTCAACAGCAACAAATGCAGGGCACTCTGACCTTCCTTCTTATCCCAAGTTCTCAGATTAAACCTGCCCCGCACAGACAGACTGTGGTAAGTGTATAATGGTATGAGTGTGTTTGCATGAGATTGCCTGTCTGCATGCATGCAACAACAACCTTGACAATGTAAACCCTGTCCTCAGATGCACGTACGAGCTTACTTTGACTACGACCCCTCTGATGACCCCTTTGTGCCGTGTCGAGAGCTAGGCCTGTCCTTCCAGAAGGGAGACATCCTCCACGTCATCAGCCAGGATGACCCCAACTGGTGGCAGGCCTACAGGGATGGAGATGAGGACAACCAGCCCCTCGCTGGACTCATTCCAGGTAGCAATCCAACCAGGGCTAAATATGTAGTGTATTGCTTCTCAAAGGGAGGCTATACTGATACAAATATAAAAAAGTCTAGAAACATTTACAGATGATTGTAACATTTACCATATGGGTTTTTATGTTTTGTATTAAAACTATATTATGTATAGTATTGCAAAAGCCAGTGTCATACACACAGCATGCAGTAACTACAAACACTTTACAACTGCATAAAAATGCACATGTATGGAAGTCAATGTAAAAAATATGTAGTTGTTGTTCACACCTTGTACAATGTACATGGCTTGAATATGTGTGAAGAAATGCAACACAATGTGAATTGTCAGAAAATTAAGTGTCACAGGGTAAGGTGTTGTATTTTGGTGAAAAATCACATGTTTTGTGTTGTGTTGTTTTAAGAATTAACACTGGGACCCAGGTCTGTCTTCAGTGCATTCGTTCATAAATCATTCCATTTGTAAGCGCACATAACACGTGTAAATAGATTTTTAAAAGCTGGATAATTGGAATTTGTTGTATACTAAATGGCCCGTAGATGCACAGAATAAAAATTTTTCATTTTTACTTTTAATAGAAAAGAAACCAAAATATATACATTTATATTTACTATTATTAGTACTGTTACTATTTGTAGTGACACTGGTGTCACAACAACGTATATTAAATGCAGAAGAGATGGTGTGTGTTCTCCAAATGCCAAGACTGCAGCTGTTTAGTGGAGGTAGCAGGAACCAGACATAACATCAAGATCGAAATAGAAATAAGAAGTTTAGTGTGATTACATCAAGAATGCCAATAATGCATGAACTACATAGGACAACTCATCATATTATATTGAGAAGCTGATAGTTTTCTCCAGTTCGATAGACATGTATTGTCATGTCATTTCTTGTAGTAACTGGAAACCAAGTCACAGAACAGCACTTGAAAATGACTATTAACCTGGAAGGCCTATCGTGGCAGGAATCGCCACCCATCTGGCTTGACATGCCAGATGGGTGGCGATTCCATCTGTTAAAATAAACACCGAAGAATTATTTACGATTACTTTTTCACCCATGCCTGCTGTGACTACAAGAAAATAGGTCAAGCACAGGAAAGAAATGGAAAGTGGGTGATTTTTGCCTGTTTCTAAATACATAAATACATTGAATTTAAGTATTTATACATAATATGCATATTTTTCTGTTTTATTTTTTGCAGGTAAAAGCTTCCAGCAACAAAGAGAGACCTTAAAGAAAACTTTAACAGACAGAAGTCGAGAGCAGCAAGGTAAGAAGACTGATTTTACATCCACTTGGACTCATGAAAATAAAATGTATTCTATCTAGAGAGTTGTAACCAAGTGAAATGATAATCTGCCTTTGAACGTTGTTTTTTTTTTTTTTTTCAATTACATGTTCAGGGAAGCATTGGTATGGAAAGAAGAGCAAGAAACAGAGGAAGAAGAGTACATCGAACTTTAACAAAAATACTGGTAAGATCACTTTTTTCTTGTGTCTTTTCAGTGATTTGACAAATGAGCTGATTTAAAAGCGTGCAACTTCAGACTTCAGCCCACTGTCACTTCACATTTAGCACGTGAAAGACTTCCACACTGAGCCACTGCCAAGTGTCTGCACATGGTCAGTATTAACCCCACACGTTAGCTGGAGTTGACACATCTTGTCTTTTTCACAGCAGCTTGTCCAGACTCGGTGTGTCACAGGTCAGATTAGTTCTGTCTTCACAGACGGGATCAGAGAAGGCACCAACAGGTGCCCAGCAGGTGCCTAAATGGCTTGGAGAAACCTTTGGTGTTACTGGTTCACATGTAGAAAAACATACTAAGACTGACACACATACTGTTCCTGTGATACTTCTTAGTGGCCAGCATTCCCATACTATGAGCTGGGAGGGTCAGATATGAAGACAATACTTTATTCAGGACAAAACCTTCACACAAACACACACATGCTAATATAACTGCCTCATATTTAATTGATGTCTAAAATCTCTTGTGTCTTTCCCAGGTCCACAGAGGTCAAACTTAGGTGCAGAACAGCAGCCCAGGAGCTCACAGTAATTTGTTATGTATGTTGAGGATGTTTCATTGAAACTGTCCCAAACTGTGTCTGCAGACTATGATGACATCCTGACCTATGAGGAGATGTCCCTTTACCACCAGCCTGCCAATCGGAAACGTCCCATAGCTCTGATTGGCCCAACAAACAGTGGTCACGATGAGCTGCGTCGGAGGCTTCTGTCATTTGAACCCGAAAAGTTTGCTGTTGCTGTTCCACGTAAGTCCACATTTTGTTAAAGTAGCAAGACATGGCAATATCAAATATTTACAGCTGGTTTCAGATGAGGAACAAAGTATGCATCTAGGATTCAGTAAGTATTTATATCCTTTGACATATCAAGCAGCACATTATTTTCTCATTTATAATGTCAAACTAACAAGAACCTAAACCGACAACTTAAAAAGAACTTAAAAAGGACCACCAACATGGATCCAAAAAGTAGCCTGAGTATTTTTTACAGTAAGTCAAGCTGATCTATCCTGTTTCATGGCTCAGACACAACCAGAAACCCAAGGATACATGAGCGGAATGGCCGTGAATACCATTTTGTAAGTCGTCCTGCCTTTGAAGCCGACTTGGCGGCTGCAAAATTCATTGAATCAGGGGAGTATGAGAAGAACTTGTACGGCACCAGCACAGACTCTGTCCGACACATCATCAACTCTGGACGCATCTGTTTGCTCTGCCTACACACAAGGGTAGGAGACTGAATACTTTACATTTCTGTTGAGACAATTCTTTACATTACTTTAGTCCAACGTGTTATTTACATTAAATCGTTTTTTGGTTTGATCAAAACTGAAATAATATTTTTGTGTAGAAAGAAGGCTAAACTCTCAGACTTGTTTTGGTAAATTTAACCCTGGTTATTTTGTGTGTTTGATTTTCCTTTTCATTTGTTTGTTTGCAATTGTTTTTTTTGTGACAGTCACTGCAGGTGTTGAGGTCCTCCAACCTAAAGCCATATGTCATCTTCATCGCTCCAACTTCTCAGGAACAACTACGCACCCTGCTGGCCACAGAGGGGAAATCACCAAAGGTAAAAGTTGAGGCACTCTCAGACTGTGCAGGGAAAGAATTTATAGTTCAGTATTTAGTTGGGCATAATAGTTAACATGCCAACTGGTGTCTAACTAACAGGGACTTCACAAGAGTGGAAATAGTAAAACCAGACTGTTTGTGCCTGCCGCTCTAAATAGACAGTAGTCAGGAAATAAACAACACTGCATCACTTGATGAAATAACCAGCAAAGGGCACAGCTATTAATTATGTAAAAATATTGATATGTATTTAGAAAATAAAATAAAATAAACACCATGTAAGCATTTAAGAATTATGTTTGAATAGGTGTATAGATGATGGATGGATGGATGGATAGAAATTTTCATCATCACCTCTTCTTAATCAATTTTTGTTTGTGTGCACAGCCGGAGGAGCTGAAGGAGGTCATTGAAAAGGCTCGCGAAATGGAGCACAATTTTGGTCACTTCTTTGATGCAGCCATCGTGAACATGGATCCAGACCAGGCTTTTCAAGAGCTACGCAGGGTGATAGATAAACTGGACACTGAGCCACAGTGGGTGCCCACCTCCTGGCTATGCTAGACGTTACGGAGTCTCAGCACAAGGGGTTTTAGAAAGAGACAAACTGAAGAGCAAAACTGGATGTTCCAGGAGACTGAAAAATGGACAGTGGTAAATCGTCACTGGATTTTCACTTGCACATTTTCCTCATTTGTAGAGGAGTCGACCGTTACTCATGTTGCAGAGATGGACTCAAGTTTCTTTCATTTTTTTGTTGGTGTGTGTCTTTGTGGGTGATTTTTTGTTGTTGTTTTGATTCCTGAATGTCTTTGTCTCAGCTTTATGCAAAATCATTTATCACACAAATAGAAATATTTCTACTCTATTATTATTAGTTATTTATAAATGTAAATATATATTTCCTAGATGAAAAGATGCAATATTTTATTGTTACATTTTGTGTGTGATACCTAAAATGGCACAAACTGAGTGTTAATATCACATTTTGTAATGGCTTCCTGAGATAAGGCATCAAGCCAAAACCATGTTAGGTACCAAACGGAGGAGAAGCGCCTGTGCTTCAATGGCTGCAGCATTATGTCTTCCATTCAGGAATACAGGAAAGAAATCTGCTGTAATCTGCACAGTTTTCAGGTACTTCCTTTGCACCAATATCAGAGTGATTTTATGTTGTGTCTCATTTATGCAATGATAACAAACCAGTCTCATGCTGGTTATCACTACTATCAGTATGTAATGCTGCAAAGTACTGCTGAGATTATTAACCATTATTGTCTGAGCAATGCATCATATCAGTGTAGTTCAACAAATACCGTACTGCTTCTTTGCAAGATATTTTCAAATCAAGAGAGACAATTTTGTTATTAAAATCAAAATGCAAACAAGTGATACTTTTTGCATGCATTTAAAAACATTCTGTTCTTATTTCAGATAAATTATTATATTAAATAAGTTTGCAGGGTTGCAACCCAGTTTAACCCTGCAAATGCCTAAATAAAAATACTGTTGTAAAAGTTTCTGTTTTAGTGTAAAAGTGAAACCATTGATCTTTACAAACAATGTTTCATAATGGTTGAATATTTAGAACATCTTTATTAAGATAAAGTTTGGGGCTTTGTTACACACCACATTTTACAGGAGGGTCACATTGGGGGATTCTTGTGTCATGGTGAACATCCTCCAAAGAGGTAACAGTAACCCTATGATATGAGGTCAGCAGCAGTGCAGACCTCCACAACAGAATCCCACAGTCTTTGAAATCTACAACAACATTAAGCTTTACAGCATGCAGTGGCTCTAAATGGTCCGCAAAATCCTTAATGTCTACAAGGTGATCAGTCACACAGAATGCTTTTTTTTACTTTCACTCATAAACCACGTGTAAACATACTTATTTTTGTAATATTATTTGCTTAATTTCTTTATACTGTTTTGTTTCCCTTGTGGGTGACAGCAAAGTGTGGCAACACTTTGGTTCCTGTACAGTGACACCAGTGGGGACACCATACCTTCCAGCACAAATCATCACAGACACAGACACAAAAAATAACTTTCATCACTTACATAAGAGGACATAGACATAGCCAGAGAGGCACAGAATAAATAGGATGATGTGTGAAGTCAGTGACTGTCAGCTTGTAGACCACTTCACTCAAACAGCAGGTCTTCGTCCGTCTCCTCTGTCAGCATGTTGCTGGGCTCTGCAATGGGACCCAGCTTAGCCAGGCGGGCAGCAATCTCAAGGTCTGTCTTTTCTCTGAGCTGCTTCTTCTTCTCTTGGATCTTCTTTAGTCTGGCAGAGCAGAAAAACTTTTCAGTGTTAAAACAAAAATAGAAGTTTGATGGTCTTCGCATGGACTTCACACATTAGGGCAATGATAGAGAAAAATATCTCAGAAGTAGTATACCATGCAACTACTGCAACTAGTAAAAGAAGGCACTTACATTACCAATAAATGCAAAATATATTTTAAGCCCTAGAAAGCAAGAAAACATTCTAACCTGTAGAACTCCTCTCGTTCTCTCTCATCCAGCTCTGTGATGATGTAGGTGAGGGTGCGATCGATCCTGGGAATAATCACTGCAAAGTGAGATAAAAAAATATTTCATTTACAATGACATCCTTTTATTTGAGGTCTTTGAGGAGAAAGACTACAACTACATGTTAAATGTGAATTTACCATGCTCGATAGCATTCACACGGCGGTTGGTGATCTTTATTGCTTCATCCAGAGTGACAAAAGATGTCTGCAAAATGAGTCAGAAGTTTTCATTTCTACTTCCAATTTCAAAAATCTGACATTCATTTTAACCAACACTGGGTTTTATATGGACAAGAGCAAAAACTAGGCTTCAGTAATGTTTTCATATTTGGAACAGCACCCCCTACCTGTAAGGAGGCCAACTCTACAAGGAGCTCCACAGCTCTGGCATAGTTCCTCTTCAGCCTGGACAGCTGCTCTCCTCCTCTGGCTAGACCTGTCAGTTCATAGCCTGCACACACACACACACAGCAACAGTGAGCTTTCTCTGTCATTCTCTAGGCACAAAAACTAATTTAATTCAAAGTTGATGCAGATTTAAGGCAAATCAAGAAGTGAGATATGACATACTGTCTCCGCCTTCTTGGTAGTGTTCAAAAACTGGCAGAGTGACTCCTGGAGGAATAAAAACAGCATATAAAGACCCTGACCCATCACTCACAGTGATTAGAAAAGTGGGAAAATATGTGTGAAGCTAACCTGCCACGTTATCCTTCTTAGCTCGGACCTTCACCTGAGCTTTGTTTACATTCTGGATTACAGTTGTGCTGTAGACAGAATTACAGATGGAAGCTGCTGAGGCATTTGCAACAAACATAACACTACACAACATCATTGTTATCTTCTTGTTGTTCTTACCTGAAGTCTCCAGCTGTAAATTTAGCTTCAGCCAGAGAGAAAGCTGCCTCTCTCATCACCTCTCCCATCTTGGTCTTGGTCTTTAGGAACACATAAAAAGTCCTTACTTTAGGGAGTAATTCTGACTGATCTCTGGCCAGCGCACATACACAAAGCAAAACTACTGCAGTCTAATACAACAAGTAAACCCAGCCTTCACTCAGATTGTTAAACTACAGAGATTTTGATTCAACCTAATGGCCATTTTAATATAAGGTCATACAGTTCAACAGCATCACAAGCTACATGATCCACAAAGGACCAGAAAACTTAATCAATGGCTTTCTAAAAATGTTTTGTTGGTTTGATTTTTTTTAGCCATTAAGTTAACAAAGGTAGGATTTATTTGATTGCTGTTTTATTAGACTGCGTTAGTTATCAAATTCTTTTAAACTGACTTCAATAATTTTGCGCAGGATCTGACGGAAGCGCATGGAGAGGGCATCTGATTTTTTCTTGAGCAGGTTGCGGCCAGTCTGTGCTCCTTTCAGCCGAGCCTTCATGATGGTCTGAGCCCTGCAAACCCCAAAAAACACACACTTTTTAAATTCTGTATTTGACTCTGATTCAGATTAGTCAGGTTACATTTTTCCAAATGTTTAGCTCCGTTGTTCATTTCAGGCAGTCAGATATTAGCTGAACTAATCTATATTAAAGATCCCATGAAGATGGCTTTACAGAACTGCTGGATGATATTTGACACAGAATTTTTTACAAGATTTATTTACCCTGGAATCGTTAATGTTGATACTTTGTCTTTTTATTCTGTACATTTGGTCAAGTTTGTTGTAGAAATCTGACGTTTAAACCATTTATCTATTGCTTTTGTGTTTTGTTTTGTGTGGTTTTCCTTACTACTTTCATATGATCAGGTTGGTCTTGCGCTGTCAGAGTACAGAATTACATTAATTTGGTGACAACTACAACTTTCTCCTCCTTGTCTTGTCTTTAAGTAGGATCCTAAGGAGTGGACCATCAGCTGTCCTGCGACCTCTGTCTCTTCTCTGACCTTTGTTACCTTATTTCAAATATTTTAATCTTGATCTTCATCCTCCAGTAAAGTCAGCTTCTCCTTCTGACTCATCCTCTGACCCTCTGTGTGCTTGCTTCCCCTCACCTACATGTGTGGACAGTATGCTGTAGTTTTGTCTCTGGTGTAATCTGCCCTCTTTCCAGGTCTTTGCCATGACAACATCATGCGTGTCTGTCGGGGAACCCTGAAAATTGCTCATAATCTTCTCGGATTATATTTGTGTAGACACAGCCTGCAGTTCACTTGAAAGTGTTTTATATAGATTTACAATCTACTACAATTATGTAACCTGGATTGTCCATAGTGTAAATTTACTAGCTTGCTCTATATACACTGCATGCCAGGAAGAGGGATTCTCTGTCTGTCTTGCAGACATTTCTTCCATTTATGGATTTTTTGAGGTATTTTTGCTTATCTGAACCAAAAGTGTAAGGACAGAATGTGTCCTGTACTGCAATTAATATAATTTTGATTATTATTATTATGAAAATAGACTGAGCTAATACATAGTCTTTCTATGTTGTCCCTGGTAACTGCAGTACTCCTGGTTGGAGGTCACTGATCCTCAAACATGTCACAGCTCACTGACATCGTTCGTCGGGGAAAGGTATTTCATTGGTTTATCACAAAAAATGTTTATCCGTGTCCTGGTTAAAAAAAACATGCCCCATCTCTAGGATCAAAACAAGAGTTTCATTAGACTGACACGACTGCATCTGTGTGGCACAATGAGCACTCCAAGCAGACAACACACAGAAGTGGACCAGCAAGCTACGCCATGGTAAAGAGGACTTCTACCGTGTGGAGGTCAGCATGTTTCAGACACCATCTCAGGGTGACAGCTCACACTTGGATGAAACATCACATGATTTTAAAAAAGGACTCTTCCTCTTTTACACATTAACCTTCATATAAACTATCGTTCGTGCTAAACAAGATTGTGATCTTTCGTGGGAAATAAACGCAGAAAATCAGATATACCAGAGGCTGAAAAGCAACAACTCAACAAAATAGAGTTATTTAGTTGGTTAGGACGATGCAGTGGGTTAGCAACTAGCTAGCAATCAAGCTGCTTACATTCTGGAGGGGAATATGTCGATCCTGTCTTTTCCTGACATCTTCCCGTTGTTTGGTCGATGATTGCAGTCTTCGGTTTACTTATGCTTCCTAAAAATCGATACTGAATCGTTAGCTTTAGTTTCTGAATGTATACAAATATATAAAATGTTCTTCTTCTTGCAGGATTAGATTTACAGACCGAGCTAATGGTCGTGATCGTGTTCGACTCACTGATCAGCTGGCCTCTGATCATGTGACTTAACCAACTTGTTCTGCACTTGCGCGTGTCGAAAAAGTCTAACGATCTTTTCCGGGTCGAAAAATTAGCACATCCATGAACGTGAGCTAGCAGGCCCGAATTCTTCATTAAAATCCCAAAAGGAAATTTACTCGGACTTTTCAACACGCCCAGTACAGGTCATTTTAGTGTATCGTTCTGTAACCTTATGACACAGGTAAGTTTTCTTTATCGATAAAGGGGATGTTCGGTAGCGAGTGATGAACACACGGTGCTGCTAGCTCGCTGGCTAACAGCTAGCTTCGGCAGCGATGCATGTGCCGCATGTGAGTTTGAACCGGGTTACTAGCTAGCTGGCTAGCTGACGGATGTTCAATGAATTGGTTTTTGTTTTTCAAGGGGCACTTTTCTGTTGGTATTGAGTGTGATAACGCAAGGTATACAGTTGTTATCATTATACTGCAGTTACTTTTAAGAAGCTCTTCGTCGTCATTTTTGTTGTAGTTTTCGCTCTGAACTACAGCAGCAAGGAGGTTGTCGCCAGTTTGCGTTTCATCATCTCATTCTCAGCAAAATGTGATGTAAAAGTACCATTTTCCAAACTAATCTCTTGTATTTT